AAATCGTAAAATAAACTCTTATGGATACATTTCTATTCTCTGCCCCCCTTCTATCTTAGACTAATATTAATTAGGTAATTACATTTATTTATATATTTAATCATTGTTCCATTGTATCCATTTATTTTTCTATTTATCTTGATCATGCATTATGATTGGTCAATGAGTGTAATAATGACCTTGAGAGTGACAATTTTATAAGTAGTTAAGTTTATAAGTTACTGTCTTGATTACGATTATCATCATTATTATTATTAGTAGTAGTAATAGTAGTGGTGGTAGTCAAGGTACAGTGTTTTATGTTTTACATCAAAATGAGTATCATTGCATAAAGAAAAAAAATTGTTGTTAAACATACGAGACAGAAAAAAGAAAGCAGAACAATCATAATGATAATGCATAGTCTGGATTATTCATACAACTTACAATATATAGTTAATCTATAGGAAATAATAGAAAAAAAAGGGGGAGGGTTTTTTCCCTTATGAAAAAAACTATATATATGCATATGTATAATACCGGTGAATTATGTTTTTACTTTTTTTTTTAAAATGATTTTACCTTAGTTTCAATGTTTATTGGACAATCGACTAGTTTTGTTTTGTTTTTTTCTGTTGCTGCTTAGTTACTGTCTATAAAGATTAAAAAAAGAAAGAAAAAGAAAAGAAGAAAAGAAAAAAAATTTATAATCATATACGAAATTCAATTCAGTTACAAACCAATATGGGTGTGGAGAAAAAAAATTTTGAAAAGAAAAATTAATTAAAGAATAAAGAAATTCAATGGAATAGTGTTGTAATGATATTTGAGAAACTTCAAACATTGAACAATTGAAATCATTGAATTTTGAACTATTGAACTCATTGAATATTGTACCATTGAACTTATTGAATATTGAACAATTGAACTCATTGAACATTGAACAATTGAACTCATTGAATATTACATTATTTAATCTAATTCTTTTCATGTTTTGTATAAAATTTAAAATAAACCATCATAAATTATCCTCAAATGAAATTGATAAAAATGAAAAATTGAATTTAAAAAAAATTTAAAAAAATTATTACGTTTTACTATAGAAGAAGATCAATTTCGGTAAGTTTTTTAATGGTATCTGATTGAATGTTTTTTTTGCCATAAAATTGATTTATTTTTTTATTGATTCTCTTTGATGATTATTAAAAAAAGGAATAAATATTACTGATTATTATGGTTGGGGTGAAATTATTGATTATTTTATTCATTTATTTGAATATATATATATATTGGTACTAAGGGGTCACTGATTACATATGCGCCATATAAGTCACTTGATTTGTGTGGGTGGGCTGTGATACTGACTGGGTACCCAAACTGAAGTAGATGGTTTTCTTAGAGGGTCACGCTCAGAGCTTTTGACCTATATGTCTAATCCACAAGATAGGGTTAAGAGATGCAGTCGGTGACCGACAATAGGCTCATAAATACACCATTTGTTTCTTCAGGATATTCGAGTCCATGTGCATCATTGATTCGGAATTACGGTTTTCGAACTTCTCTGAGTGAACCGTACGTTTCCACCAACTTGGTTAAAGCGCCGGATATTCACTTTTCCTTAACAACATCCGAGGTGCGAGAAAGCAGTGAGTAGGGCGTCTCTGACAGTGGCTGTATACACGTGGCCGTGTGAGAGTATTTCGATAGGGAGAATTGACTCTCCACACCCTCGACTGTACCAGGGCATTTCAGGTCAAAACATTGCGTTTTAAAAATAGATATATTCGTCAACTTTTAAAATTAATGTGGTGATTACGAATTGGGCAACTAATAAGTAGTATGTATCATCTGTCCTGATGTTAGATGGTTAGAGGTATTTAGAATTTCACTACGTGGTTCATAAACATTACAAGTAGTGTTTATCTCAATCGTTATATATTTTCTTGAATATAAAAGTCATATAAAGACAGATAGATATACAGACAGAGTAAAATCATTATTTTTGGTTACTATCAATCAGATCTCGCTCTAAAATCTATGTTCTTAGCCTAAGCCAATTGTAAATTTTTGGTATTATTATGGTATTATAGTAATTTAATAGTTGAAGTCATGAGTCCTGGGTTCGAATCCCACGATCAGGATCGTGGATACGCACTGCTAAGGAGTCCAATACTTGGAAGAAACGACTATCCAGTGCTTCCATGTTTTTTATTGTGATCTAGTTCTAATCAAGTCGTCAACTCAACTATTAAATTATTTTATTATTGAATAAAGCCAATAATAATAACAATGGAATTCAAGACGAGTATTTAACCCTTTTTAAAGTTCATTATCTGAATTTGCGTGTATCTCATTGTTATGTTCACAATGATACCAAAACCTGATATCCATAGTCTTTAGTCGTTTGACAAATGAGTTACAATAGACATCGGTGTATTCAGTAGGTAAGATCGTGGATATGCACTACTGAGGTGCCCCATACTAGGACGAAATGGCTGTTCAGTGCTTGTAAGTTTTCAATGGCGGTGTCTAACATCAATCGATTCATGATCTCAATAAAAAAACTTTACAATCTTCACAACCATCTACTGACAATTATCGTATTTGCACATGATTTACATTTCCTTTGGTTGATAATCTTGTTCAATCGATCAAATTGTATCTACATTCAATATCGATTCATTCACCTAATGAGTCCATATTACTAGCATTGTTTTCCGATGTATTCGCTAATTAAAATACTCAAGAAATTTGTTCTGAAGATTTATTGATACTGATTAGTTAGTTGATGTTCAGAATGTTACGAGTATAGACAAGTTGTGTAATGTAAGCAATTACCAATACACCCAAACACTTTTAAGATTGGATATTTATGTTTACATAATTAGAATGACAACAAGTTCTTGCCAAATGAAAATCTATTGAAAAATCGATATCAGTTTTATCTAGCTATGGAACATCGAACGACATATTTAAATCATCAGTTTATAGTTTTATTAAGTAGTATCTAATAGCCCATTGAAGATTTACAATAATCATTGAGGCCTAATTAGATAGAAAAAACAATCGATTATTTGCAATTGACCTTAATAACAACATAGTAGATTAATTTTGTGATCGAAAGTTTATATCGGAGGTTAACAGAATGTAAGATTAGTCAGCGAGTCAGTAACAACGTTGAACTTCGTACGTACGTACATCAGTTCGAGTTGCCATACCATATTAGCACAGAGATGCAGTTGTCGACTCAAATTCCGTGGTGATAGAGGTGGTAAGAGTATAAGAAGTAGTCGGAACAATTAGGGTTTGAAGATGTTGTTCAAGGAGTATAATACAGTGAAACGAATTTAGAAAGAGAAAAAAAGAGACAAGGAGAATTCATAAGATTAGTTTTGTGAGAACACAAAGAGTGGATGCACTTGAGCCATTGCAAACGATTTTGAGCCACGTCATTCAGAGTCTCTAACCGTCGGTTGCTATGATCTCGCGGTCCCCAACCAGATGGTCTACACCTACCAACATGTCATGTTTTTCGAGTACTTTGAAAGTACTTTTTGTTTTTCATGAACCGAAGTAACACATACACAAATACAATTACTTAACTCTTCAAACTTACAATCAAGTTGATTTGTGAGCCTAGTGATTATTATTATGAATGGCTTTATTCAATGTTACATTTTTAGTAAAATATAGAATTCTCAGCACAAAGTTTTTCAACAAGTCCCCGTTTCTTATTTCTTGATCGATCGTGACGATAACATATTGAGTGATCACCAGTTAGATGTTAATAGTCCAGTCAATAGACTTCTAAATAATTTACATTCTTTTTGATGCATATTACCAGTAACCACAATATCTCTGATTGGGCTCTTTCATAATTTGTACAGTGAAAGGTCTTGAATGTTTAATAAAAGCACTTGAATAGGTTATGCGATTAATGGAAATAATCTTATGTTAAAACAAACAAGAAAAACGGATGACTTATTGAAATATCTAGATGGCAACAACAAATAGTTCAGATATTTAAACAGGCCGCCTAGTTACACAACTATCTACCTTGTCAACATTACTAAGTGACAGTGAATTTGCCTGGTTTAGAGTATAACTTAAGTATATTAATTTACTTGTCTTATAATTAAAGCAAAAAAAACGAAAGAAACAAATTCTAAAATCGATCATATACCGTTACATTATTGTTATAGTTTTGCTGACAAATCCTCTGTATTTCCATTCCTTTAAGAATATTATTATTGTCGAGTACGAAAGGCACTACTGCTACTACTACTACTACTACTACTACTACTACTTTCAGCATTTTGATAATCTAAACTTTCACAAAAATCTTCTATTCATAATTATCTACGTATGAATAATCATTTTTATCATAAATTCTTGAGACATCGATAGGAAGTTGAGACTTGTGGAACTAAATAATTTCCAAGATGAGATATTATTTCATTTTTGGCAATTGATAATGAATGAGCAATATCAAAAAATCAATGAGATTCCTACAAGTTTGAACATAATGAGTGCTGAATGCTGAACAATCCCATATTAATATAAAATAAATGCTTAGTGTTTAGGTGGCTGTCTAACTAATACCAGTTCATGATGTAAAATTTAATCGAATCAAATAATTTCTACAAACTTCCTTGTTCAGTTCCAATTAGATCGTGGGATTTAATGTTATGATTGCATTGAAAATCTATATACAAATGGTATTTCTATAGTTGAATTCATGAGTCAATTGAAGCAAGACCATCATGGAAAACCTGAAAGCACTGAACGGCTGTTTCATCCTAGTGTGGGACTCCTCCGTGACACTGCGCATCCACGATCCCACTCGCGAGATTCAAACCCATAACTTATGGGTCTCGTGAGCAAACACTTAAGCTGTAGACCACTGAGTCGGCCGGCATCCAACAGTGTTCATGTCTAACTTCAACCAATTCACAGAATTTTCTCCACTATCCATCATTATCTTTAGTAAGTTACTATCTCACAACAGACTTGGTTACAGCGAATAAATCAACAAATATTGATGCCAAATACTTTTATAAGTGACATGGATATTGAAGTTTTTAGTTAAAATAACATTAATAGAATAAAAATCTTAAATCAATAATTAATTGGTTGAATAACATATTGATCTTATGAAGTTTTTATTAGATAATCATGTTTTTCTATTGATTATTCATTCCAAATATAGAGAAATAATGAAACGACAAAAATTCGTATTGTCATTATGGTACGGTATACGGTTTGACTTTATGTAAACAACAAAGGCTGAACTGTTATTCAGTTTCCATAAAGTATTTGTTTAATTGATATTCAATGTTTGATGATTTGAAGGAATTTCAGGGTTGACAGGATCAAAATTTCTGTGGTTTATTTTAGGCCTAATAGTGAATGAGCACTAGTAAAGTATCATACTAGGCTGAAGTATACGTATAATGCTCCATGGTTATCTTGTCTGTAGTGTAAACTACAAAATGAATGATCATTATAAGCTATCCATCCTAATGAATTTGAAGAGTTGAAAATGCTTAGCTCAGTTTTATAAGGTGTCACTGATTATATACTTTAGGTAAGAAGAAGTCAATTTTATAGTAACTGATATAAACATGTAATGAGTATAAGGTGATACATTAAATCATTTATCGGATTTAAAGAAACTTGGATACCATAGCCGCTACCTTAACGTGATGGTCAGGCTTGCCTATCGTAATGACCCAACCGAGCTATTTTGGCTGGAACATATGTTCATTTATGTTCTATCATGCCAGGCAAGTCGTTTAGAGAACGGTAAGACTAAAAGCAGCAACTTAAGGTCGGAGGGCACTGTCGTACTGCTGACTGTAGAGAGGTGTGACAGCAGGGAGGTGTTTCCCTCGGACAACCAGCATCTACAGCGATGCTGACTCCTCAAAAGGAAGGAAGGGGTTAGAAGAGGTTGAGCCTAAAAATGTAACACTTCACCTTACCTCACGGATTTCCGTCTCCGGCGGTAAGGCCGTTTAAAGAGCGGAGCCAACACGTCAAAAACCTCCCACAAAAAGACCGTGCGCAACCGGCCTCAAGCAATTGTCCCTCAGACTCTGCTGTCGATTTCTCTGGTTGCTAAGACCAACACCAATCCAAATTCCTTTTCAGGTTCCTCAAGAAATACTCTCCAGCGGAGTGGGTAGCCGGGAAGTAACATCAGCCCTCATACCCGTAACAACACACGAGACCAAGTTGGTCGCAATCAGATCCTTCCTACACCTCCTAATAACTCTCTTATTTCCACGACTAACACTTTTTGCGTTCCCTTATCTTTTAGCGCCGCTAATGCAAACGATTCGAGTACGTGGAACGTTATTTTTGGTCTATTGAAACTACGCTCTAAACTACATGTAGGAGATTTTAACTTCCGAACACTTTGCCAAATAGGACAACAGATTTCCCTAGCTAGGACTTTGGAATCTCGCGCCATCGATATATGATGCGTCTCCGAAACGCGCATACAGTATCCGAGTAGCGTCATTCATTTGACTGAGTGGAAAAAAATGACATTTCTGTGTAGGTTTTGATTCACCATCAACGATTAGTTTTAACTGTAATCTTGTACTGTACAAAAGATTGGGAATACAAGTTCTCTTAAACTTCAGGAACTGGAAACTCATGTTAATTAATCACTCATTAATAACTGGTTTCATGTCGTTCAGACTTTAGTACTTATCAAATCCTGTCTTTCAACTCCGATGTGTGACCATTGGCTTAAGTGGTTCAACATTGCAATTCATTTGTTTTGAAGTGGTTGAAAGAAATTGGGTAAACATACTAGACTCAACTATCATGCTAGTTGTGACTTACAGTCCACTGTCTTGAAAGTTTGTTCTTCATAAATGATCCAAACCCTTGTCAAACAGTTTCATGGTTAGTGAATCTCACATGAAGCATTAATGCATCCAGGTTTATATATAAACCTTATTAAGGATTGTTATGTAGCAGTAAATCTGGATTTAAGACTTTTTACAGACAAATTTCATTTAAATTGTTAAGTTACTTTATTATTCAGTATGGTATTGTGGAGGTCTTTAAGTTTTTGATTTAGATCATGAATCGACCTTCGGTCTCATGCACGATCGCTTAATCTGTAGACCACTAATCCGTCTAACTTCAACCACTCCACAAAGTTGCGCGACTATCTTCCATTGTACTGAGGTAGATACCTATTTCTACTTAACAAGGATTAGCTCCACTGGTCACGGTTTCTCACATTTCTTCCAGGTTTTCAAGGGTACTCTAACATCGATCGATTCATGATCTCAATTAAAATAATCTTAAACAAGTAAATAACATCTTGTATCTAAATAATAAACAAGTTTTCAAATATCTAATAGAAAGCTAAAATCTGTAATTTGATCTTTATTGGTGTTGTGATTGAACACATCTGATTATTTATTAATTAGAATGAAATATTTGTCTAGTATTCCTTGCTCTTAAATAGTGTTATATCTAGAGCGAGTGGATAAGGCAATGGATTACTAATCCATTAGGATTTCCCTGCGTGGGTTCGAATCCCATCACCGTCACCAGTTGTTATATCTAAAACTTAGATTCTTAATACATCGCGTATAACTGGAGCACTGGAATACTAGAACCCTCCAAGTCGCAAATGAGAAGACAGAAGACGAATGAGAAAAAATGTTATTCCAAACAATGCTAAGTTTAATACAAAACTCTCAGGTATTTATAGCTTTTAATAAAAGCGAAATTATCATTATGGTCAACCAATCCCCATACAGGAGGTTATAGCATCTATCCAATAGGTAAGCTACACATCGATATTCTGGAATGTTCATCCAAAAGATGATTAAATGGAAAATCTTCGGCTCTTTTCGAGCTTCATAGAAATTCCTCAAATTCACCCGTGGGTCGTCCTCACATTATATAAACCATAAGACATACGAAACTATTAGCAGCTTTTTCCTATGAAACCTTTTAATTAATGAAATTTACTCTATTACTAGGTACAATGATATTGTACTTTGATGATATATCTTGAGTCGAACAATCTGATGTTTGTTTATTTGAAAGGTGACTATGTATTTAAAGCATTTAGTGTTCATCTGATCGATTAAACATTTGATTTGGGTAGCAGGATAATATCTACAGCCCCGTATAAACATTGTTACTTTAAGCAACGTATTGAAACCTGTGAATGAGTTTCATTTAATGATTTGATTATAGTAACTAATCACGTGAAGTTACATGAAGAAATTCGGTGACGTAACATAAATTGCATATTTTCAATGTACTTCGTTAAGTTCACTTGATGTTGTTTACTTAAATCTACCCATTGATGTTTAAGACTGCAATTGATCAGTCTCGTTGGCATATGTGCATCCTGTGCGGACGGCCTCGATATTGCCTGAAGTCACAAGCTTTATAAGCAAAGATGGATAGTGGCTAAGTGGATAACGTGATGGCATTTGAAGCGAGTGGTACTGGGTTCGAGTCCCGGAGTGAACATCAACAAGTCTGAGATACAGATACACCCAGCTGACGAGTCCCATATAGGACAAACGCGCATCCTGGATTCCACTGCTAACCACCATCCATCCAACTCTGCTCATAATACTTGCGAATTAAGGCAATATCGAAGCAATCCACACAAGGATGAACTAATGCCTATAAGAGACTGATCATTTACAGACCTAAACACCAATAAAAAGATTCATACAAACAATATTAAACAATAAATTGTCTTTGCTTATATTTCATTAAGTGTTTTTAACATTTTGTATCTGGAATTCAACGTCGAACAGACGTTTTTCGACAGAAATATTACGAATATTTAGGACATTTTACATTGATAGACAATAGAAAAATAACATGTAACATAATGAACGCAAACGCTACATTTAGATCACTAAAATTGAAAATCAATTTCAACATTTACACTAGATCATACTTTACAATTGATTGATCATTGAGTGGTGATCAGTGCCATGTGTGTCGAGCCCTTTTTAGTGTAAACCGAATCGTATCGACCAAGTTGCAATGTGGCCACTAATCTAGGTGACTCGACATTGCGTGCCACAATGCAACTTTGCCGATAAGATTCTATCTGCACTCAGAAGGACCTTATATACATGACACTGATCACTACCCAGTGATCAATCAATTGTAAATACATCTCAGTCCTACAAGAGGTCATTAGTGGTAACGTCTCTGACTGTGAAGCTGGGTGACACGTGATCAAATCCGTTAGGGAGTATCAGTACCCTCGAGACTACAGGTACACATTGCTGACGAGAGCCAAATAGCACGAAGCGTAGGTCCAGGGTTTAATAGCTTGGGTCAAATTGGTGGTTTAATTTCAAACGAAAAACTAGGTGAAAATTTTCGACTAAATGTCTTAGACCTCAAAAAATGTCGCCAGCATTAAGATGATAAATATCGAAGCGGAATTGGATGGTTTTCAATACATTCCATGAGAATCAAGTGTTATACTCTATGTCATTTATAAAATAGAATCTTCACAGATCGACGTATACTGAGAATATGTTGAAGCCAGTTATGTATGTGAGTGAATTTCAGGCTGAGGTTTAGAAGGAACTTTCTCATGTCAAGATTTAAATTTCCTTTACTTCATCTTGTGTTATTAGATTCATAGCTGCTTATTGCTCTGGAGTCCTAAACTCGAACAAACACATATTCAATACTCACTGATTTGTAATACTTCTCCAAATGTTACCATTCTCAGACGAATTGAATTAGTTTGAACAAGCAGCTGTTGTTTATAACGTTTCTCTATTAGTTCTACTGATTTACATGAAATTAGGTTAATCTCTTCCTTACTCTGCCTAATCATTAAGCAGACGTATATTTAATGTTTCCTCAGTCATTAGCACTGATGGGATTGTAAAAATAAATTTGTCATATTCAAATCCCATAAGGTGCATCAGTTCTTGAAGAATAGAGTTATCTGATGCTAACGGATGTCAACTAACGCGAAGAATAGGTCTTGGGTTTTCACCCAGTCTAATATTTCCATCTTTATTTAGTATGTTGGAACTAGTTATGTAATAACAAAAATGTATTTGAGCTGAAAATAATGTGTCCATTGAATTGCATCTTAATAAAATTTGTCTTTGTAATTGTACTTGTCTGTTTATCTTTCCGTCTGTCTATGTATCTATCGTTGTCAGACAAAGATTGAAAATGGTTCAGCCATTTTTTTTCCATAAAGATTTATTCATCTTTGTTACTAAGGGAACATTCACTATAAAAAAAGGTAACAGAATTAATATCAAATTAGTTATGCAACATAAATAAAATTTATAGAATGAGAATTCTAAATAACTCAGTAGTAACCCAGTAGATCATTTAAGTTGATTATTAAGTAAATATTAACTGACTATCTGTATCAAATGATTTAAAATAGGAGAAGGGTTTTGTGGATATTATAGTAATTTAATAGTTCATAAGTCAATTAAAGCTAAACCATGATGGAAAATATGGAGGCGCTGGACGGCCATTTCGTCCTAGTATGGGACTCCTCCCGCCCCGCGAGATCGACTTTAATTTGTAATAACAAATTTACAAATCAGTATATATTATAAAAATGGAAATGATATATACATGCTTTTTAAGCAAAGATGGATAATGGCTAGTAGTGGAATTTCGGAAACTCTTTTCGTTCTACTTGGGACTCTTCAGTTAGATGTACCTGCATCCCAAACTTGTTGATGTTCACTCTGGGTCTCGAGCCCAGTACCGTTCGCTTCAAATACCACCGCGTTATCCACTTGGCTGTTGAGTCTCGATGACCACTTGTTTGTGCACTGAAGTGAAGCATATTTTACTTGAATCTTCCCATTGTTGATATAGGCTAGCAGTAGAATCCAAGATGTACATTTCGTCCTATTTAAGACTCATCAGCCGGATGTGCCTACACCTTACAGTTGATGACATATATATATACATAACTTTTAAAATAAACATTTTTTTTATTAATATCAGATGGGTTTTGTGGATATTATAGTAATTTCAATGGTTAAGATCATGAGTCATTTGAAGCTAGATCACCATGGAAAACCCGTAGGTCCTGGATTCGAATCTCGCAGGGGGCGAGGTCGTGGATACACACTGTTGAGGAGTCCCATAACGGGACGAAATGGCCGTCCAGTCCTTCCAGGTTTCCCATGGTTGTCTAGCTTCAATTGACTCATGATCTCAACTATTGAAATTTCTTTAATAATTTATATTATTTTCTTATTTTAATCTAGTGATGAACATTTAATAGAAATTGATTCAAATTCAAAATGTATTAAATCAAATGAATCCATTGGAAATCATAATCATTCTATTCTATCACAACAATTAACCTTATTACATCATAATCAATTATCGAATTCATTGAATAATGATAATAATAGTTTACCAATTAAATTATCCAATAATTTAGATCTAAATCAATCCAATGAAAAACACCACCATCACCATCATCACCACTACCAACAACAACAACAACAACAACAACCATCATTACCATTTACTGTATGGGTAAGTTCTCTCATTGATCTTTATTGATTTTTCAAATAGCATGGCAACATACTTTTGTAAATTAAAAAAAAATTTGTTGTACTTTTTTTATTTATGGAATATGAGAATATATAGAACAATTAAAACATAAACATAAAACTTTATAAGCAAGAATGGATAGTGGTTAGCAGTGAAATCCAATTTGACGTGCGTTTCGTCCCATTTGAGGCTCGTCAGCTGTTCATAAGACTTGTGATTTAAGACAATATCGAAGCAATCCGTACAGGATGCACATATACCAATGAGAGACCGATCAATTCCAGTCGTAAATGAAAATGGAAAGATACAAGTAAGCGACATCAAGTGAATTTATAATGGTAAGACTTCAATAAACAGGAATAACAACATTCATCTCGTGTAAAAGATCGTGGATACGCACATCTAAAGTGTCTTATTCTAGGATGAAATGTCTATTTAGTGCTTCCACTTTTTTCACTAGTGACCTAATATTGATCGTATCTTCCCATTGTTGTTGAAGACCGCAATTGATCAGTCTCTTGTTGGCAGATATGCATCCTGGGCGGATTGCCTGGATATTCCCTTAAGTTACAAGCATGATAGGCAAAAATGGATAGTGGCTAACGATGGAATCCAAGATGTGCGTTTCGTCCTATTTGAGACTAGTCAACTTGATGTACTTACATCTCAGACTTGTTGGTGTTCACTCTTGGACTCGAACATGTAAACGATTAAAAGTATTTACTGATATATGAATTGCAATGACAATAAACAGAAATCTATTTAAATTGGTTAGACTTATTGAACTGGATCAAATATTTCCAATCGTAAATTATTTTACATGTTCAGATCATGTAAATGTATTAGAACTTTGGTTATTTCAATGTTTTTGTAATTTAGATGGTATACAATGCAAAACCTAAGGCATTGGCTTCGTTCTAATAAAAGTATGTAAATAGATATTCTGTGTATCTCTTTCGCAATATATCAAACTGTGGTATTAAATAACCATAGATTAATTTGTTACCTTAACTAAGTAATTTATATTGATGTAAGCTAAACCACCATTGGAAACCTGGAAGCACTGGATAGCCATTTCATCGTAGTATGGGACTCCTCACCAGTGCGCGTCCACTATCCCGCTTGTGGGATTTGAACCCAGGACCAGCGACCTCGTGTGCAAATGCTTAATCTCTAGACCACTAAGCCGGCATCCAGTAATGTAAGTGTCTAATTTCGATTGATCCATGATTTTACACAACCTTTTCATCTATTGTCTAATGGTTTTCAATGATGGTCTAGTTTATATCGACTCATGAATTCAACTAGTACAATTACTACAATCTTCACAAATCCCCATTCTGATCATAATATATTCATTTTTAAATTGCACACAAAATTTTTGTCATTCACAAACAATCCTTGTCTAATTATCACTTTGTATGACATACATAGAAACTTTTGGCAACTATAGAACTTAGATAAGTTGGATAAATAGATGATAAGTTCCCAATTATTTCACCTTGGAATGTATTATTTCATAGTTGAACTAATCACCTTCCATTTGTATTCAATATACAATATGATGATTAGAAATATACAATCAACATACCTAATCTGACAATAAGAGATAATCATGCGATAATTGGATATTCATACAGACAAACACACAAAGGGTATGTATGTATTCATATTATCACTTTACAGTTGTACACATACATGTCAATTTAAGGAGACAGTTACCGAGTCTTATTTATGCAAATTTTCTTTCTACATTTCATATAAATGATGAATTATGTGAAATATTTTACTTTGAATACATTTGGTAATAGATTTTCTGGTTAGAGGGTTTTATTTAACAAGGTTGGGGTTGCTAATCCCATGCTTAATCCTCATTGTTTACCCGGGGTTAGAACCAGCAGTAGCTCTACAAAAGCTACAGGCGGAGTTATCTGCCAAAGGAGGAAACAATGAATTCAACGCTGTTTTTTTTCTATTTTGATCAAGAATACCTGATACATAATTTAAGATTTCAAGTTTTACAGACAGTTAACTGTGGATACATCCACTACAGGTTTTTCTCATAAATAAAATACTAACACATAAGAAAATGTATTTACTTTCCATGTCAATTGATTTGAACACATTCATGATGTGTAAGATATCCTAACGAACATGTATGTATGGAATGATTAATTGTTATTAGGTAATTCATCTAATTTGAGAGTCTTCTAAATGGGATTAGATTGCATGAAATGTACATTATACATTTAATATTTCGTTATCAGTATGATGTTATGAAGATTAATAAGTTTCTGATTGAGATAAGGAACCGATTAATTTCAGATCACCATTGAAAACCTGAAAGCATTGGACGGTCGTTTCGTCCTAGTATGGGACTCCCCCGTGACAATAGGCATCCACAGTTCCGCTCGCGGAAATCGAACTCAGGAAACTCAGTATCGCACACCAATACTTAACCAATAGACCACTGATCCGGCCAGCATCCAACAGTGTTAATGTCTACCTCCAACCAATCCACCAAATTGAGCCACTGTCCACCATTATCTTCAGTAACTTCCTATCTCACAACAGACCCGAGTGAACTCCACTGATAATTGGCTTCTCATTAGAACTCCAGGAAATACCTCTAGAAACCAGTCACTAGTGAACATATGATGATTATTATCAGAATGGGGATTTTTGTGGAGATTGTAGTAATTAGAATAGTTGATTTCATGAGTCAATTAAAGTGAACAGGATTTTGGATCCACACTGCTGAGGAGTCCCACAATAGGACGAAAAGGCCGTCCAGTGCTTCCAGGTTTTCCATGGTGATCTAGCCTTAACTGACTCATGAACTCAACTATTAAATATTCTACTGTCTAAAGTTTTTTATCTTCAGCTTATGCTATCACAATTCATTATTAGTAGTAAAACGTATTTTGTATAAGCTATTACACGATGCAAATGTTGATGTGGCTAATTTTGAGATATAATTCAGTAGTTCTATTGAGAATCAATTAACCAGTGTATTTAAGCCAGGCTATATGTGAAGCATTTACCCATTAGTGGTATTAGAATTCTAAATTAATTCAAGCTATAAATGTAGACCATAGGATGCTGACTCAGCGGTATAAAGGTTAACTTGTCTCATAGAGCTCTGAAATTCCATGGTTCAGTCACTAGTGAAGTTGGAAATCAGCTCTGCTGAAATGCCACAAAGTAGGAAAACATGAACAGCCTATATGTCTTGGATCAGCTTTGACTCTTTCACAGTTCAGATCAATGAATTATTTTTGCTGATTTGTTTTATAAATGACCTTCAAAATGCTTTAAATGAAAGACTTAAACTGCTTGACACTTAGTTTGGTAAGACTATTTTCTTTCAGAAAGACTTCTGCTTTGTACATAAGTTTTTAAATGAATATATTTAAGAGGGATATGCAAACCAGCTATTATCATAGTAAGATAATTTGATGTGGTCGTTTGGGAGCCGATTGATCTGATTTCCATGCTGATTAGATCATATTAGAAAGAAATATTCCAATATATAAATTAACATTATGTACACTACAATGTGATGTTAAGCTATTTTAACCAGTAAGCTTGAACATCTAAGATTTTCAATACCATCTGGAATTCATACGACGGACTACAGTTCAAGGTCATGCATGGAGAACAGCTGACAAATGCATTCCAAGTAAGGACCGGAGTCAGACAAGGCTGTATACTCTCCCCCTTCCTCTTTCTTCTGGTGGTCGACTGAATTATGAAGATCTCGACGTCTGAGGGAAAACGCGGAATACAATGACAGCTCAGAACCAATTAGACGATTTGGACTTCGCAGATGACCTAGCCCTCCTATCGCATACACACGAACAGATGCAGATGAAGACAGCCAGTGTAGCAGCAGTCTCTGCACCAGTAGGCCTCAGCATACACAAGGGGAAAACCAAGGTCCTCATATTCAAAGCCGAGAACAGCAGTCCAATCACACTTGATGGCGAAATTCTGGAAGATGTAGAATCCTTCACGTGCCTAGGAAGCATCATCGATGAACAAGGAGGATCAGATGTACACGTAAAGACGAGAATTGGTAAAGCAAGGACAGCATTCCTACAATTGAAGAACATATGGAACTCAAAACAACTGTCAACCAATATCAAAGTGAGAATCTTCAATACGAATGTCATGGCAGTTCTACTGTATGGAGCTGAAACTTGGAGAACTACAACAACTGCCATCAAGGAGGTACAAGTATTTATAGATGGTTGTCTACGCAAGATACTCGACATCCATTGGCCGGATACTATCAGCAACAGCCTTTTGTAGGAGAGAAAAACTAACTTCCAACTAAAGAGAAAATTAGGAAAAGACGATGTAAATGGATAGGACATACATTACGCAAATCATCAAACTGCATCATGAGACAAGCCTTAACTTAGAACCTGAGGGGTAAAAGAGATGTGGAAGACCAAGGAATACACAACGTCAGAAATTGGTAGCAGAGATGAAAAGTATGAATAGCAGGTAGAAAGAACTTGAAAGTATTGTCCAGAACTGGGTTGAGTAGAGAATGCTGATGAGCAGCCTATTCTCCTTCACGAGGAGTAACAGGTGTAAGTAAGTAAGTAAGTAAGTAAGTAAGTAAGTAAGTAAGTAAGTAAGTAAGTAAGTAAGTAAGTAAGTAAGTAAGTAGTAATAAGTAAGTAAGTAAGTAAGTAAGTAAGTAAGTAAGTAGTGTACTTCTAAGCCTAGATTTCGAGATAATTAGCACTTATCAATTGGCCAAACATTAAATATATTAAACGAAATGTTCCTATAATAAGAGTTAATTCTAAGTCAACTAGTATTACATGAAGATCTTGTTTATAACTGATTGAATATCTCTGAAACTTTGTAAATAACCAAGTCTAATGCCACAAATTTTCAAAAGTCATCAGCGTGAATTTATTAGGATAATACAATAAGGACCGAGAAACTTTTTCGATTACACCATTTTCAACTGATTCCAAGTTATATAATTTACTCTTATGAGTCAAAGTAATTTTAAATTGGTTCTCAAGAAAACCAGACACCATCCAGACTTTCACATGATAACCCAGACAGTACAGCTCAATCCCGTTTAACAGATCTAGACACTACCCAGGCTTAAAATTTGTAACCCAAATAGTACGGCTGAATCCAGTTTCTGTCAGAACGAGACATTATCCAGGCTTAAACTTTATAAAACGAGCAGTACAACTCAACCCCGCTTTATAGAAGAACCAGACACCATATAAGCTTTAACGCTACAATCTGAGTAGTACAGCTCAATCCAGTGGTGCAACCACACAGATACTAAGCACTCTGATAGACTAACTGATTATGAAACATCATTTAACAAAATGAATGAAACAAACATTTCAGATTTATTCTATTCATACATCAATCAATATTTTATTTGGTGTGTCTCTTTGTTTTCTTTTTTCTCTCTTTTTTCTCTTTTTTTTTGTTCCAACTATTAGTTCATCAAAGTTGCAAAGAAGTTTCTTCATTGGAAAAATACTTTCATTCATATTAATCTATTAAAACAATCTAATTATTCACATATTATAAATGATAACCCTATTGAAGACTATCAGAATACAATCAATTTGAATAGAATTGAAAATGATAATTTAAACAAAATAACAATTCAGAAAAGGCTAAATGATAAAGGAACTTTTGGATTAAATATGTATGTAATGATTAATTGTGAATGATATGTAATTTAATGTAAACTTTATAATGCAACTACATTTTAGATGGCCGTTTTGTCTTAGTACGGGACTCTTCAGCAGTGCGCATCCAAGATTCTGCTCACTTTAAGTGACTGATGAATTCAACTACTAAACTACTACAATCTCCACAAAAATCCCCATTCTGATGATAATCATCATATGCTCACCAATGACTGGTTTCAAGAGGTATTTCCTGGAGTTCTAATGAGAAGCCAATTATCAGTGGAGTTCACTCGAGTCTGTTGTGAGATAGTAACTCACTGAAGATAATGGTGGACTGTTTGGAGGTAAACATTAACGCCGTTAGAATCCGGTCGGATCAATGGTCTACAGTTTAAGTGTCCAGTGCTTTCAGGTTTTCCATAGTGACCTAGCTTTAATTGACTAATGAATTCAACTATTAAACTACTACAATCTCCACAATACTCCTTTCTGATTACTTTCATTCTATATATATCCAATAAAGGTCAAATTTGAGTAATTAGCACCCCTCCTCACCATCTAAGTGTAGCTAGCATGTGAAGATTGATATAAAAGAGACATTTGTTCAAGTAAAAACGAGACTTAGTTACTTAAATCAAAGTATCATTTTATGGTAAATCATCATTCTTATCGAAAACATGATTATTTTGAACATAAATTTGTAGTTAAACTACATAAATAGTGAAATAGTAACCTTTCAGTGATAATGATATAATGGATTCAACTTATCATTAATAAACTAAATTTAGATGCTTGAACTATTCCATCTCTATTTTAAAGTCTAACTTTGATATGACGAAGAAAATTCACAGCTCAAATAGACATTTATTGGTAATAGTGAATTCCTTCATATTGATGATTCGACTATAAAGCTTTCGTTGTTATTCTAGATAATGTCATCGAGTAAGAGTCAGTACATTTGTTGGTCTACATACGTTAAGTTAGTACAATCCATCAAATTTTCTTATGACTGGTTATCATCACAAATTTTGTTATTACCATGTGTTTTTTGTTCCATCTTGCTGTCTTGTTTAGTTGATCGTTCAACAAAAGATTGATGAATCTTTTCATTATGGATTGTTAGTTTGAATGTGACAACGATAGAGAATCCAGTACTGTGTCTTACAAAGTATTTTCAATTCAGTAATTAAATTTGGGGACAGTTAATTGAACACAAATAGGTTAGCAGTGATACAGTTATTAAAAATGTCAAAGCTCACAAAAATGTCGTGTGTGACCGACCCCAACAGTTAACCCATGGGCACTGTAGTTATCCTCTCAGGTCACGAAGACCACCCCTAACAGAATTTTTTTTCAGGTACCTGTAGGAGAATCCTTCCGTAGTATAGGTGATTGGGAAGTGCTAACCGCCCTCATACCTCTAACAGCGCTCAAGGTCACTAATTTCCCCCCAAATAATCCTTGATAATAATAGTTACTACCTACTTCAAAATCTAGTTTCATTTGACATTCTTAACCTTCATTTGATTAGAAATAATTTTAAAAGAAAAAAACTTATTTGAATGATCATAACTATTAAGGAATAAGAAAAGATAGATAGTGGCTAGCAGTGGAATCTAGGGCGCACATTTCATCTCGTTTGGGACTCGTCAGCTTAATGTAACTACATCCTAGATTCATTGTTCACTTTGGGACTCGAACGCAGTACCGTTCGCTTCAAACGCCTTCATGTTATCCACTCAACTACTGAATCATGATAGCCACTCGTTTGTCCAATGAGGTGAAGTTTAATTCACTTGGTATTCTTTATTTGAATCTTTTCATTGTTGTTGGGTTACTTTCTTCTTTACTATTGATCATGAATCCTAAACTTGTATAACAAATGCTACAGTAATCCGATTTATCTTTGACAAGGTTTCATCAATTCTCATGATTGTTAGCCATTGTTTACGTGCTATAATATCCAATAGCACGTTACAAATTATCATTGTTACTGGGGCAATTTTTCTTCTTTAAATCATTCTCTTATAGACTATTTATTTAGTAGAAATTAAACCAATATACAATGTTGATCAACAATACTACGGATATATCAATACATTTTACGTTATATAGAATAATTAATAAATTATAATATAAAAGTTAAGAACGGTGAAATTATAACTTATGAACGATCTTTGAGCGATACTAGACTGACCTTGAAAGTATCCACCTAGTAACTAGGACCAAATGAGAGTTATAAGCCAGAGTATGAGGAATTAGAATGACGATTTACAGTTGATGGTTAAACGTTGAAAATTAGATTTAAAGTTGACATCACAAACTGATATCAGCTAAAATGCCAAAAGTCTATTTAACCAAATGGGTAAATGAATTTAGCGCCAAAATTCTAGACTTGGTATCTTAAATCTGATTGGTTTGTTCATAAATTATAGTTTCGCCGCTAAAACATTAAATTCGGTAAAACTTTATGATTATAGTCTTTTTATATTATTTATAACTTCCCTTTAATGGTATAAATCTAATCAATTTATTGTTTAACTTAACATAGTTCTAGTTCTTTATTCAATATTACAATTAATGAAACTGTATATTATTGAATTAAAATAAACTTTTAAAGTAAAGCATAAACAATACATAATGAAATCTATGAATCATTCTAATTTAATTTCATATGATTGAGATAATGATAATAGTTGAATATATCATCATTGAAAAACCTGGAAGTATTAGATGGTCGTTTCGTCTTAGTGTGCGACTCTTCAGTAGTTCACATCCACGATCCTGTGTGCTGCTATATCTAGAGCTTAGATTCTTGATATACCGCTAGAACCCTCAAAATTTCAAATGAAAAGGCAGAAGACAAGTGAGATAGAATGTTACTCCGAATAGTGTCAAGTATGATATAAAACTCTTAGGTATTTATAGTTTTTAGTAAAAACGAAATCATCATCATAGTCCTTCAATCCGCATACAGGGGGTCATTAGCATTTGTCTATTAGAGAAGCTACACGTCAAGATTCTGGAATATTCTTCCAAAAGATGGTTAGATAGAATATCTTCGGCTCTTTCTGAACTACTTAGAGCTTTCCGAGTTAACCCGTGGGCCATCCTCACACGCAAGAACGCCTAACCTCTAGATCATCAAGCGCCCAAGACGATAGGTCCTGTGTTCGAGAATAGTGTGCAGGATTGTGAATGCACACTGCTGATGAGTCCAATACAAGGACGAATCAGCTGTCCAATGTTTTCAGGTTTTCCATGGTGGCCTAACTTTAATCGACTCAGGACTTCAGCTATTAAAATTATTACAATCTCCACAAAACCCCCTTTCTTAATTCTACTACTATTTGAAAATTCTTTGTTGACATTGAATAGTTTTCATTCATAAAATGTTATCAGTATGTAGAATAATTGAAAAATCTGTGTTTATATTAAATGTAAAAAACTTCTCTTAAAAAGCTTGTGACTTAACGCTATATCAAACAATTCGAACAGGATGCACATATGCCAACATGAGACAGATCAATTGCAGTCGTAAATAACAATGGAAGATACAAGTAAAACAACAATAAGTGAATTTAAACTTCACCCCATTGCACAAACAGGTGGCTATCAGGACTCAGTAGCTACGTGGATAACATGATGCAGGTACATCCAGCTGACGAGTTTCAAATAGGACGATACACGCGTCCTGGATTCTACTACTAGCCACTATCCATCCATCTTTGCTTATAAAGCTTGTGATTTAAGGAGATATTGAGGCAATATGCACGAAGAACAATTACTTCTGTTTCATGTTTTTTTTTTATCATTTTCAGCTGGTGAAAAGCAAATTATAAAATCTCAAAACTCACTTTGAAAACATTCTGTCGTAAAGTTGATTTGTGTCTGTTAATAGAATCCACAACCAATTTATTTGCAGCTTGTCAGATAAATATATACTTGTAATCGAATGTTGATATTCACAGCAAGACTCGAACCTAGTACCTTTCAATTCATAATCCATTACATTATTCACTGAGTTACTGAGTAGAGATAGCTAGTGACAAATTCTACTTCTTCCTTCTTTCTTTCTATTCATGACCGATCAACATATGAAAGTATTCATTTTTGCAAAAAGAACTAAGGCATCTTACACATTAGATTTAATGGAGTTATATTTCCCACGCAGGCTGATATTAGTCATAGGTTACGATTTATTATCACTACATATCTACTAATTGATGTTGGAGGTTGGACCATACAAATACAAGTCCTATAGAGAGCGGGATTCTCTAGATGATTGTATAGATCAGGTTTTCTAGATAGTCAAATTGGTTATCTCAGTCATCCAATATAATCTTTAGTATTAGGTTGATCTTCAGTAAATACCCTTTTATGCTACGTTGAAATACTGTCATGAGCTTAAACATGTTTTTTTGTTATTAATCTATGTACTACTTATTTGATTTATTTTAATTTTAGACAACATATTAAACAAAAAGCTAATAGTTTAAAAGAACAAGGTAGAAAAGCTAAAGTCTGTCATGGTTATCCTATTTGGACGGATACTAAAAGTGTTATACAACCATTTTCAAACAGAATATCATCAAATTCCACTACTCATCATTTATCACCGTATAGACAATGTGATTCGCAGAGTGATTTATTTGATCCAATCTATTCAGCAATTCAATATCCTTTGAAAGATACATTACAATCAACACATTCATCATTATGGGATCATTCATCAATGTCAGTTCATCAACCATATGCGAAAGATCGTCTTCTAGTTAGAAATATTTGGACAAGTCAGGTACTATGATTGATTTTATTTCGAGTATACACTAGCGTTTTGTGTAATATATTGAACCATAATGTCACCTGTTACTCACCCTTTCAATTGATCCTCAAAACTAGATACTGATTCCTCATTTGAAAAAAATGAAATTAATAACCATATTCTAAGTAAGCAAAGATTGATAGTGGCTAGCAGTCGAATCCAGGACGCGCGTTTCGGTACTGGGTTTGAGTCCCAGAGTGAACAACAACTCTGGGATAAAGATACATCCAGCTGACGTATTCCAAATAGGACGATACAAGCATCCTGGATTCCACTGCTAACCACTATCCATCTTTGCTTAAAAAGCTTGTGACTTAAGGCTATATCGATACAATTCGAACAGGATGCACCTATGCCAACATGGGACTGTTCAATTGCAATCCTATATAACAATAGGAATATACAAGTAAAATAACACAAAGTGAATTCATATTCTAAGTGTTATATATAAATAGACATCGGTATTTTGTAAGCAATTGAACTATCGGATGTACTGTCGGACTGAAACATTTAACATTCAATTAATAGAACTCAGTTCCTAATTCTATTTTACGTAATTTGATTTGAATTATCATACAAAAACGAGTAAGGAACTATTGAGTACATCTATTTGTGTTTAGAAAATAAGTTACACATGCACACACATACAAATGTTCAATCTTATTCAATGTTCCAGCTTAAGTAAGCAGTTCAAAATGACGTGTTTATGCAGATTCAGTTCATATTGCTTCATGTTTTTTTTATTTCAATCTAGTCGTGATCATCAATAGAACACAACAGAATAGTGATATTGAGTAACGTTAGACTTGTTCACGTATAGTATTGATCTGTTTGAACACATAAACATTGATGCAAGAGGGGGGCACCAAATACATATGCTTCACACAATAACCATGAGGCCCATAGCATTTATTATTGATCTGTGTGAGCGTCGTGATACTGCCCGCGTTCCCAAACCGAAGCATGTGGTTTCGTTTAGAGGGCCACATCCCAAGCCTTTGACCTGCGGGTCTAATCCACAAGGCAGTGAAGCAACGTCAGGAGATGCAGTCCTATGCTAGCCAGTGACAAACAATAGGTTTATACACCATTTGTTTCCTTCAGGATACTGGAGCCCATGTCCATCATTGATTTGGAATAAGGGTTTCCCGACTTCTCTAGGTGGATCCTCTATATCCACTGATCCGGTTAAAGCCCATACCAGACATTCGCTTTTCATAAACAACACTCCTGGTGCAAGAAGCCTGCTTTCTACTGAATGGATTCAACTATTTACATAAAAGTAAAGCGTACAGTCGCTTAGACCAGTAGACACATTCCAGTGTGATTAGTAGAACTCGATTAGCAACAAATATTAGGTAGATTTGTATTCATTAAATCTCAGCTACAGAACCATAAAATCTTGTTGAGGTGTTTTGCCATCAATCGAAGCTGTAACTAAGACCGGAAAGTACTAAATAACTGTTTCGTTCTAGCATGAAAGTTTTCATCAATTTGTGATTACAACGAAATCAAGGGTTCAACCTTGGACCTTTTGTTCTCACGAAAAATACTCAGTCTCTTTACCATTGTGTTGATATTCAATACCTCAAATCTCTTCTATTAGAGATACAAAACAACGATCAACGAACAACGATGACCATCTTAAAGCCAACATGGTTTAACAACCTCAACCACAACTTTTCATTAAAACTATGCCAATGAGACATTTTAATGATTTGGTTAAGATGTTCCACTCGTTAATTTATTATTTTTTTCCATGCATTATCATAATAGGATTCAGTTGTCTCCGATGCACATGTCTATTGTGAGTTAATTGAATTGAAATCCAATAAAACTCACTATCCAACTAACAAGAAATTGGATTCTAGACCATTTTATAAAGATTATTCTTCTTGTAGTTTACGTTCATATGAAAATCAATGTTTTCAAGATGTTATCTCAGATAAATGTTCAAATGAACAACCGCCGAAATTACCACATCGAAATTATGGAGAAAGTACTTTGAATATGGTTGCTAATGTAAGTTTTAGAGAAATTTATCATTCTTTCTTCTTTGTTAATGAAACATATTTTGACTGCCAGCTCCTTGGATCTGATTAGTCATGCAAATTGAACGCTATATTCGTTTCCTAAGCTATTCTGTAACCCCAAGCTAGAACTATACAGCGACCTGAACAACGAGAGAGAAGACGCAAAATATGAGAGAAGTACTTTACTCCAAGGTTCATTTCAATGCAGAAAATATAGGGTTTTTTTAATATTTTAAATGTCCTTCGGTTGCTCGAAGATTCTGCAATGCTAATTAACATAGTAGCTGTATAGCAATCAGCCAATCAGAACCTCTACATGTGACATTTCACTTCCTTGATATTTCTGGCTAAAACTTCAAGTGAACGCTGATTGGAGGAAACGCTCCTTAGTGTTTCCTGATCCTTGCTTATCTTTTGCAAAAAATTTTCTGAATCACCCCAACAGGATCATCTTGATTAATAATGAATAATGAAACATTGTTTTTGATTACCCAATGAGACCAACTTAGCCTCTGGATAAATCCTTTTAGTATTGTCCTTAGTCCGAAAGCTACATTTTCATCCATTTCATAACCCTTGAAGCCAGGTTTTTCTCAGCCGTAGCATATTTCACTCCCTTTGTTACAGTTGATCTATCTTTAGTTATTAAATTTTGTGGATAACCGTTATCAAGTAAATAACGTTTGCCTATGTCGCATTCCTTTTTCACTTCTACCTACTGAACATAACCTGGATAAATTGTTGAACAGTGCTCTAACCAAAGCTCTTTTGTAATTTATCGTACAGAAGCCAAGAAAGTTCATGTATACCCGGCTCTATTTGCCTTTTTCATAAATATATTTCTCCGATTGCCTAACTGAATTGCTTTAAGCACCAAGATTTAGGAAATGAAATATGCTGTTATGTTCTCATTATGATGTCAATTTCATGTTACTGATGTGACTTTATGCCCGGCTAATCATCACGTGATTTATTCGCCAATTCAAATGCGATTTATACAATCTCAGTACTGTCCCAAACCAATGACATTCAACTGATATGTGCAACATAGCTTCTTTATTAATCCTTTTTATCTTGTAGCCCTTCCAGTTGAGTCCCGGATGCCAATACCAGCTTGCACAACGCAGATCATTTATTTCAAACAAACCAAATCACACGATAAAATAAGAAATAACATTTACACAAGATCAAACCAAAAGATGGCTCTGAATGTGGGAGACTGTAATTAATAGACTGGGCATAACTCAAGAACGCTAAATCGTATAATAATAATTCATACATCAAAATGAAGCTTATAATAAGATGCATATAGATATACACAATCAAGTTACTGAATAGTTATACAATAAGAATGTATCGCATCATATTAAGTCATTAATAGTTCTACGAAGTTACCCGTAATTTAATCTTCACTAGGATATAACAGTTACAGTATGCTCTGTTGAAAGTTCCAATATACAAGAAGTATGTCAATCATCATTGAATACAACAATTGTATTTCTTTTTTTAAACTTTTCTTTCAAGTCATTCAAACAATTTTATTTCGATGATGTAATGAGAAGACGAAGTTTATCAGAATTGACTGTACCCATTCTCGGCCACACCAGAGTATTTGGGAGCTAATACATCAATTTGTAATAATGATGATATTGTAGTGAACAAGAATATCAAAGAGGAAAACCGAATGTAATTGAACACAAAATTACAGAACGCCTTAGTATAATCTGAGAACCATTCAGTAAACAGTTCATTTGCAAAATGTCAATCAGTCTTCTCAGACTTCATTCTTCTTTCGTTTTCACACCAATCATTCTTTGTTCTCGTTCTCTTCTCTTAGAGCTTCTTGACCTTCTACCATCAGGCATTTCACTTTCGATTAATAATACGTACTACTAATGTCTGTCGACATCAGTAGTACACACGACAAAATAATTGTCCAAAAATCCATTGTTTTTTTCTGTTATTTATTTATTTAAACAGATAAACATGGGTGCAAGAAGGCACCAAATATATATGCACCACATAAATCATTCGGTTTTTGTGAGGGCTAGGATACTACCCGGGTGCTCAAACTGAAGCAGGTGGTTTTCGTAGGGAGCCATATCACGAGCCTTCGACCTGAAGGTTCAATTCTTGAGGCAGTGAAGCAATGTCAGCAAATGTATTCCTATACTAGCCGGTGGCCAACAATATGTTCATACACTGTTCACTCAGGATCGTGGAACGCATGTGGACTAATGATTTGGAATCAGGGTTTTCCAACTTTCGTCAGTAAACTGTCCGTATCCACCAACCCGTTTAAAGTGCCGGACATTATCTTTTCATCTTTTAATTTCATAAACAACACCCACGCCTCGAGAAGACAGTGAGTAGGACTTCTCTAGAAGTGTTTGTATGCCTTTGAACATATGAAAGTATTTTAAGAGGGAGAGTTGACTCTCCCCATTCGGGGGCAAATACATTAATTTGCAATAATAATGATAATCAATAATATATTTATTTCATTATAAATTTTATTTTTATTTTTAATTCTTTCTTCTTTGTTTTTTTTTCTGTTTGTGACAGTTACGTTTATGGGCAGCAAGAAATAAACAAAAATTTTTTAAAAATTTACACAAAATCAATAAATTACATAAACATGTTTATTCTATGTCAGATATGACATGGAGATTAAATAAGAAACGAAATATTTATGATTTATCTTTATATAAAACAAAAAATTATACAGAACAATCATCATTAAGAACATCATATCGGTGTAAGTTACTTTTTTTTCTGTTTTTTTTCCCTTTTTTTCGTTTTCTTTATATGATCAGTTGAAGTATGGAATAACATTCTTTGAATTTTGATGACGTTTTATTCTCTAAGCTGGGTGATTTGGTCGTGATAGAGGTCTACCTGAAGTTTGTGCTGATGATGTCATTCAGAAGAACTATGAATGCTCCACAACTAAACCATCAAGCACAGAGACCAAAACTTCATCAAAATCATCCACCTGACCTACAAATCTTCTCCATCATCCCAAAATCATATGAAAGTAGTGTGCTTTTACTTACTTACTTACTCCTGTTACTACTCGTGAAGGAGCATAGGCCGCTCATCAGCATTCTCCATCCGCCTGTAGCTCTTCTAGAGTTACTGCCGGTCCCAAGCCCGGGTAAATGTGGAGGGTTGTGCATGGCGTTAACGACCCCATCTCGTAAGAAACTAACTCGCTAAAAAAACGCTAACCAGTATGCTTTAAACTTGTTTAATATTTGTGATATACATTTTTGAATATAAAACTCTTATTCAGTATTTGTAGTTTTTATATCAAAGAATGTGTTCAGGTAAATAACTTTTGAAAACTAAGAAGTATTGAATAATTGTTTCATCTTAGTATGGAACCATTCAACAGTGGCCATCTATAATCCAATTAATAATAAAATCTTGGATCTATAGATATAAAAGGAGAAAAAGCTGTTCAGTGCTAAAGTAGTAGATCAGTGATGTAAAGCTACGAATTCACCGATCTACAGAACTTCAAAAGAGATACGATATATAAATGACATAACTGGACTCAAATTTCATGTTACAAGTTTTCTTAGTGTTACGCAATAAAGAGTCTTTTCACTGTTGTCATAAAATACATGACTTTCAAGTGACTATCGTATAGCATTAAACTGAGAGATATTGTATTTCGAAAAACTTAAAATCTAATTTATCATTTCTTCCTTGAGTCAATATCAGAAGTTAGCTGTCATTCTAAGATTAAACAAAACCTAAATGAATGGTCATAAACAGTAAATTCGGTACATTTCCACGTGAAGAAGGCGCGGACCGGCAAAGCAAAAGCAACATATCTACAATTAAAGAACATCTGGAACTCAAAACAACTGTCTGTCAACCAACACTAAAGTCAGAATTTTCAGTACAAATGTCAACACAGTTTTATTGAGTGGAGCGGAAACTTGGCGAACTACGAAAGCAATCTTCCAGAAGATACAAATGTTAAATAACAGTTGTCTACACAAAATACTTTGGATCCGTTGACCAGATATTATCAGCAACAATATACTGTCGGAGAGAAGAAACCAGATCCCAGTGGATTAGGAAATCAAGATGGAGCGCTGGAAGTGGATAGGACACACATTGAGGCGAGCACCCAACTGCGTCACAAGGCAAACCCTCATCACACGAAATCCTCAAGGCCAAAGAAAAGAGGAAGACCAAAAAACACATTACGCCGGGAAATGGAGATCGACATGAGAAAAATGAACAAGAATCGGATAGAACTGGAAAGGAACGCCTAGGACAGAGTGAGTTGGAGAATGCTGGTCGGCAGCCTATGCTCCATTGGGGGTAACAGAAGTAAGTAAGAAAATTTCTATGACTAAATCTAGCTGTGCCTTTTATTAAATGCTTTGGGTCAGTTTCCAGTTAGATCATCATTTTATGGGTGATATTGTGATGACGAAGAATGTTTATGGCTCAAGATGCAGATGTTTCAGTTGTTGAGATCTCTTAGGTGAATAAATTGACCGTGAAGCTTTCATCGTCTTTCTAAATAATACTGTCAGAGCGCACTTAAAAGTGAAGTCATGTATTGAATTTTAAGATGGTGGAGAAGATTTGTAGGTCAGGTGGATGATTTTGACGGAGTTTTGTTCTCTGAGCTAGATGGTTTGGTCGTGGAGCATGCACCGTTCTTCTGAATGACATCATCAGCACAAACTTCAGGTTGAAGTGAAGTAGTCGAATTTGATCTATTAAAACTTCTCCACAACTGATGAAGCTCTTGTTCTGTTAGCCTGAAATTTGGTTTGTTTTTACCAATAACTACTTGGTCCTTGTTTGCATGTTTGCTATGGTTGTTTGAGTAGTTTTGATGTATCTGTTGGTTAGTATTCGGTAAGAGTACAAAGCTCAGAAAAATCCTCTGGCTTTCCTTGAGTTCTCTCTGTCCAATATTTCGACGTTTTCTGAGTAGACTTCAGGTCTATATTTGTCCACATGAATTGATATAAGTAAATCTTTGCAATGATGTTTAACAGCCAACTGATGTTCACTTAGACGTAGATAGAGAGGGTGCCTATTAGATTCACAGTTGCCACTACTTATCTTACGGAATATGTCCAAATTATTTTCCTTTAGCATTGTATCTTTTAGTTTGTATCGTTCACAACTATTCCTAGTGGCTATAATAATCTGCTTGTGATCTCAGGGATGTTATTCCTTTATGGGATGAAACTATCCATTTGGTAATTTTCCACTGTTGATCTTTCATTTGATGATTAGTTTGATAAACATTTCTTAATCAAATTTTATGGGCAGTCAAAATACGTCCATCAGGGATTTTATTTCATTTAACCCTATAATAGCGGTGTTGTAATATGTCTTTGCTCTTTTTTAAAAAATAGTGTTTGGGTACAGTTTACTTTGTGAGCTACGGAGTTGTCACCATTGTATCTGAGTATATGATTGGTATGTGTTCATTGCAGATTTCGTTGAGTTACAAGTTTTTCCCTTTAGTTCTGATGGTCATCGTCTCCAAAATGTTAGTTTGCTGTCTGATTATCCTTCGAATATGTATATTTTGTCATTGAAGATGTTGTTCATTAAATTGTAAGCTACATATCTACCATCGTCAAAAGAATCAGCTGGGAAGCATTTGCAATTACTTATTATCACAGTTTTGGTATACTATCATCCCCAAGTGTAACTTCGCTGGTACTATAATGAACGAGAACACGAATGGGGACAATGAAATGCATTTGAATTCAACATTGAAGAATATCCTAGTAAAATCTGAGAACCATTCTGTGAATACTTCCGTTACAAAATATCAATCAATTGTCTCAAACTTGACTGTTCCTTTGGCAAATACCAGTCAATCATCTCAGACTTCTTTATTCTTGTATTTTCATACCAATTACTTTCTGTTTCCGTTCTTTCTTTCTCAACCTTCTGCTATCAGACATTCTAATCCTGACTGTTGTTACATACTACTCATGTTTATATCAGTAGCACATATCACAGTATGTTGTTAGTTATTCAGAATTTATGTGACTCACCATAAAAAGTAACTATGAATCATGACAAAAAAGCTTACTAACTTTGGTTTGTATAACTCTAATGATCAAGACATATGTTCAAGTCATTATTGCATAGAGGTTTTGTAATTTACAATCAACTACTTTTTGTCATAAAGTCATCATACTTTCATGTAGTACGTAAAATGAATGAATGAATCACTGACTACATTTCCTTGACCACTTTTAAATACCAAATTTACGTCAATTAATCATGTTTACTATATCACAATTGAATTTCCTATAAGCTTAATACATAGGTAATGATGTTTATATTCAATTGACTTGATGACATGGTATTTATGACTGAATGTCATTAAAAACACCATAATTATTATTGAAACTCAGCATGATAATTGTCTATTTTCTTAATGACTATCAAAAACATTGATGACATGAAACTGAAAGTACTGATTTGATTCAAAACGTAGTAGTAGTAGTAGTAGTAGTAGTAGTAGTAGTAGTAGTAGTAGTAGTAGTAGTTTTGTAAGTATCCATTCAACTTAGTTTGAACGAATCGCAAAAGTTTTTCAAAATTTTGTAAAAAAACGAAAATGAACTGTGACTTTCATGGTTTTGTAGTTGAATACAATACTGATAGATTAGACTTAATTTTACTAATCAATTGAAGCTAGACCAACATAGAAAACCTGGTAGCACTGAATGGCCGTTTTGTCCCACTGTGCGACCCCTCAGCAATGTGCATCCACGACCCCTCCTCGCGTGATTCGAACCCAGGACCTATCAGTCTCGCGCGCGAGCGCTTAACCTTTAGACCACTGAGCCGGCATCAGATAGTGTTATTGTCTAACTTCAACTAATTCACGAAGTTGAGCGACACATCAACTTACTCAAAAAAATAGAGTATTATTTTACGAAATCATCTTACTTACTTACGTCTGTCACGTGTCGTCGAGGTGCAAAGGCCGCTCAACAACATTCCCCTTCGAACTCTGTCCTGGACAGTTCTTTCTAGTTCTTTCCAGTCGCTGTTCATTATTTTCATGTTTGCCTCTGATTTTCGATGAAATGTGTTCTTTCGTCTTCCTCTTTTCCGTTGACCTTCAGGATTCCGACTTAGTACTTGCCTTGTGATGCAGTTTGGCGATTTCCTCAATTTATGTCCTATCTACTTCCAACGTCTACTACGAATTTGCTTTTCATTTGGAAGCTGATTTACTTTCTCCCACAGCAGGTTAATGCTAATGGTATCCGGTCGACGGACACTGAGAATCTTACGTAGACAATTGTTTAGAATTACTTGTACCTATTTGATGGTGTTTGTAGTTGTCCTCCATGTTTTTCTCCGTACTATAGAACTAACTGTTTCGAGGTTTGTATTGAAAATTCAGACTTTGCCGTTTTTTGACATTTATTTTTAGTTCTATAAGTTCTTCAAGTTTAGCTCAGGTGGATGATTTTGATGAAATTTTGGTTGTGAGCTTGATGGATCGGTTGTGGAGTTTTTATCGTTCTTCTGAATGACATCATCAGCACAAACTTCAGGTAGAAGTGAAGTGTTCGAATTTCTGTGATATGGTTCATAGCTTGTCCTGTAGGTCTCGATGTTGATTGGTTCTTGTTGACAGTGACAGGTTTAAGGTCAACTCCATCACCTAATCAACAAATCTTCTCCTTCATCTCATTAACGTAGATCACTTGAGATGAATATCGAATTTTTATATTAGAATTCATTTAATTACATCGCACTAAATATAAAAAACCACAGTCTTAGTGATATACTACAAACTATTTAGTTATTGTCATTAATGTTCCATGGAATTCGTTCATCCATAGTAACCGAGTGAAACAAAACACTAATCCGTGCCTTATATTATTTAATATCCATTATTCTTATTATAGATCATAAACACAAAAATTTGTGGAGTAGAAATTCTGTAGAAAAACCTAAAGATTACGATGAATTAACTAACCGAAATACAAGATCAACTTTTTCTGAAACTGATATCGTTTCACTGGAGAATCTTAAGTATGTATTATATATTACTGATTATTGTACTACTATAAAGTATCTGATTTTTTTTACAAGACCCTTGATCTCTAAGTCTTGTGACATAATTCATATTATGAGTTTGGAAGCATTTTTGCATATAGTGCTTGTGATCTAAGGCTATATCGAGGTAATCCGTACAGTATGCACATATACCAACAAGAGATTGATCAGTTACAGTCCTAAACAACTACATCAAGTGAATTTAACTTCACGCAGGTGGCTATCAGGACTCAATGTGTGAGTGGATAACACAATGGCGTTTGAAGCAAATCGTACCGGGTTCGAGTCTCAGAGTGGACATCAAGGCTGAGATGTAGGTACATTCAACTGACGAGTCCGAAATAGGACGAAACGCGTGTCCTGGACTCCTCTGTTAGCCACCATCCATCCATCCATCCATCGTTGCTTACAAAACTTGTGATTTAAGGCAATATCGAAGCAATCTACACAATCATGCACATATACTAATAACTGACTGATCATTTACCGGCCTAAACAACAATGAGAAGATTCAAACAATAAATTGTCCAATCAAATTAATCACAATATAATTTAGTATAAATCAAAATGTATCATAGAAAATCGTTTATCATATTGATTAAGAGAAAAAGACATTAACACATATAATTTAAGCAATTCCCACTTATATCCCCACAAAGAAACATAGAAACTATTAGTGATACATTGAAATGATAAAATCAAATTATCATTGTCCTTCAATGAATCCACTCTGTTTCTTTACTTCATCACAAATACTACAGTTGGATACTTGTATTTGATAGAAGGTAAATATTGAAGATAATTCACATGGATTATTATTAGTATGATTATAACCTATAAGCATTCTATGCAGTTCTTCAATGAAATATCAAATGTTGATGTTGATAATGAACATACAATTTGTATCATTTCAATTACAAACTAATTCATTTCCCTTATGATTATTATTCTATATGAGAAAGAGCATGTATGGTACCGTATGAAGTACTATTCCCACACTTATAAATTACAACTAATAACAAGATAGAATATCCCATCATCTTCCCTTGAAATTCAATTAGATTTAGATTAAGATATAAATCAAAGATAATTAATGTGAATAAATCGATTCACTATTCAATCTTTTGATTGCTATTAGGAGTGGAATCTGGAATTATTATTATTAGCTTTATTACGTATTATATTCTTGGTATAAGAGAGAATTCTTAGTACAATGTATTTCAACATGTTACCATTTCTTGCTTCTTTGTCGATCCTGTCGATAACATATTGAATGATGGTCAGTTAGGAGTTAACAGTTCAGGAATCGACATCTGAATCGTGTTCACTCCTTTCAATGGATATCGCCAGCAAACATAATCTCTCTGATTAGGCTCTTTTTCAACCTGTACAATGAAAGGTCGTAAACTTTCCATAAACGTACCTGAATAGGTTATGCGATTAATAAACGTAATGAAGTGTTAAAGCAAACCAAAAATAGATAACTTGTCGAAATCTCTAGATAACAAGAATAGGTAGCCCAGATATTTAAGCAGGCCAAAACGAGTCTATTATATTTATACCACTGGACTATAACATAACTTCCCACATTTCTACTTTGATCCATTTATACTTTGATCACTTGATCATTCAGTATAATCTGTAATAACATTTTACCTCCAGACATGGTTGAACTCCACTAGCCATGAATTTTCATCATAAATGAGTGCACAATTAGTTTCCAATTGAGTCGATCAAAACAGTCAGCTAACCATAAAATTAGTGCGAAAGTGGTCGGTTTATGGATTCTCATCAAATAAAATGATTGATTAATTTTAAAGTTGATTGTAAATTCCTGTTGAAATCGTAAGTTAAGAGTACTCACAATTTTGTGTGTCTTAAGTCCTTAGCTCTGATCGAATTCTAGTTATCAAGTTTCTTTCCATGTTGTTCAACATTGAGATGCACTTTATTTTATATTGAATGGTTATAAGTAACAACAAGACATGCAGTTAACAGACATAATTTCAATAGTTGAGATCATGTTTCAATTGAAGCCAGACCACCATGGAAAACCTGGAAACACTGGACACCGTTTCGTCTTACTGTGGGATTTCTCAGCAGTGCTCATCCATGATCCCACACCAAAGAGACGTGAACACAAGACCTTCTGATTTATGCGTGAACGCTTAACCTCTGGACCACTGAGTTGGTTAATGTCTAACTTCAACCACCCCATGATATTGTGCGACCATCCACCATTGTTTTCAGTCAACAACTGCTTCACAGCTTACACTGTTGAACTCCACTGTCACTCCTTCTCACTGGAACTTCAGGAAATCCATTTTAAAGCCATTTACTGGTACGCTTTGCTAAGGAGTCTCATACTAGGACGAAACAGCTGTCTGATGTTTCCATTGTTTCCAATAGTGATCTAACATTGATTAATTCATGATATTAATCTAATTAAACATTTGTTCATGTCACTATAAATAGTAATATTATACAACATATAATTGAATGCTATTAATTGTCATAAATTTATGTATAATCATTATTTTTACTTACAAAGTCGTTAAAAATGACCAATAATACCTGTGCATATGGATCGATGTTAAGAAGGTTAATTGGTCGGTAGACAAGAACGGTTACATATATGCATCCTGGATGACTTCTGTGGCCTTTGGAGATTCATCAACAGGATTTCGGTCCACAAGTGGTTGAGGATTTCTTTGCGTTGTTGTGAGAACTGATGTTCTAGAATTCAAACCTTCAGTTTCTTTCAGTAAATGAGTTAGGGTCTTTAGCTGCTTTTCATCTTTCCTCGTCGGTATCTATTTTAAGATTTCTTTTAGGGTTGTTTACTCTTCATCGAAGTATAAATTTTCCAAACTGCATTCATTCTCAATATATTTTTCATTTCATTATTTTTTTATGCAAAATAAGTTCACTTAATATTTGGGGTTCACAACAACGGAAGGATCCGATAATTTCAGGTATGTTTTATTGAAAATAATTTAATCTTCATTAGGGTGAATGTTTAAATGTTTTATGGATTTGAAGCTCATTTTCATTTGTTCATTTAACTATCTGAGTCACCAGACAAAAAAACGTTTGTGGAGATTAATAACTTTATTTATTACTTACTTACTCCTCGTAGAGGAGCATATGAAGCCTACCAACATTCCCTACCCAACCGTGTTCTGGGCAATACTTTCAAGTTCTTCCCACCTGCTATTCATCCTTTTCATCTCTGCTACCAATTCCTGACGTAGTGTATCTTCGGTCTTCCACATCTTGTTTTCCCCTCAGCTTCTAATTTAGGGATTGCCTCGTGATGCAGTTTGATGGTTTCGTAATGTATGTCCTACCAATTTCCATCGTTTTTTCCTAATTTCCTCTCCAGCTGGAAGTTGATTTGTTCTCTCCAACAGTAGTCTGTTGCTGATGGTATCCAGCTAATGATGTTGAGTATCTTGTTTAGACATCTATTTATAAATACTTGTACCTTCTTGATGATTGCTGTAGTAATTCTCCAAGTTTCAGCTCCGTATAGTAGAACTGTTATGACGTTCGTATTTAAGATTGCGACTTGATATTGGTTGACAGTTGTTTTGAGTTCTATATGTTTTTCAATTGTACAAAATTTGGCTTTTCACTTTAATTATGAATATCACTAATTGAATCTAATTAGAATAGTTCTGGAAAACAGAAAACACAATAGGGTTATTTTCTCCTATTATCAAGTCCTAGTTAACTCTACCATTAAATCCACTGGGGTCGTAAGATATCGAATGTGGGACACATATGATCGATTCCAATGATTTATGCTTAGCTAATACCAATTAAATTGGATAGAAATTAAAGATATAAAGTATTGGTGGCTAACTCAATGGTTTAACTTTAGGTTTTATTAATGACATTCGATTTCAAATAATGCAGTTATTAAGATACTTAAAGTTGAGTGTAGTGTCGTTTACTATGTTAAGTCAATATAACGTATTCTAGTTTCTGAACAGACAAACGATCAGTGAAACGAAGCAAAGAAAGAGAAGTGAAATGGCATGCAGTGGAGAAAGTTGTGTGGACCGACTCGATTTAGTCAACCGTTAATCAATGTTTACGGTCACACAAAAATAAGCTACAGGCATGTGACAAGTAGGATAAGCAGTGTACACACACATTCGCTGATATAAAAATAGTCAGTATTGATAAGTGAATAATTAACAAGGTCTAAAACATGACTCAAAAAGAATGGATAAACTGGAGAAGCAGCATTGCTATGGTTCAATACAGACTTCCTTCGACATACTGACAACTCAACAAATTCAAGATAAATCTCAGCAACAGGTTCCAAGCCTTACATGATCTATTCAAAGAAGAAGAATAAACTATTATGGAAAACAACTGGAAAGGGATCAAAGAAGCACTAATTTCAATGTGTTAGGATGTGCTGAGCCTCAAGAAGGATCATCATAAGGAATGGATCTCTATGGAAATCCTGCAAAAGATTCGAAAAAGGAAGAACAAGAAGATAACAACTAACAACAGACGAAAAATAGCAGAGAAAGTCATGGCACAAGCAAGTGAAGAGAAGCATTTGAGCCGTCAAGAAGAAATAAAAGGATGACCTAGCAACGAAAGCTGAAAACACTGAGAGAGAAAGAAATATGAAACAACTACAAGTTTATGGGCTTAACATAGTAATCGACACTACAAGCGCATATTTATAATCATATAAAAGGTTTAACGAAATACATTTACATCCATCAAATTAACGAAACCAATCAACATTTCATTTTCAAATTAGAAAAATAAATATGGAAAGTTGTGACCTCAGATAAGTAACCTTCACGACAATTCCAAATAAACTTAATATTGAATGGATAGATTGTTTGTAATGATAATGTAGTGAACGAGAACACAAATGAAGAAAATCGAATGTATTTGGACATGAAATTACGGAATCTCCTAATGAAATCTGAAAACATACAGTAAATAAATGCAGGCGATCCGTATCGGGTAGAAACAGGTATCTACCTCAGTACAATGGAAGGTGTACGCGCAACTCGTGGATTGGTTGAGGTTAGACATTAACATCGTTGGATGCCGACCAGTTCAGTGATTTAGGGGTTAAGCGTTGTCGTGCAAGACAGATAGTTCCTAGGTCTGAATCCTGCCAGCGAGGTCGTGATGTGAAATGTTGAGGAGTCCCATAACGGCCGTCTAGTGCTTCCAGGTTTCCCATGGTGGTCTAACACAAATCGTTCCTTGATGTCAATCCAAAACTTAATAATCTTAAAAACCCATACTGACAGTAAATACTTCATTTGCAAATGTCAGTCAATCGTTTCAGACTTCATTGTTGTCATTCTCTTTCTTCAGTCTTCTTAACCTTCTGCCACCAGACATTTCACTCCCGATTGGCGATACATACTACTTATATCTGTAGACATCAGTAGCACAAACTAAAATAGTAAAAAATATAAAAATTTAATCTTTGATATTTTATATATTTGATATAAATGTTCACTATTCTTATTTTTACAATTATCATTAGCTTGCCATTCTAATGAAGCTTTTCTTTGGAAGCAAATATACAATTAACAAAACAGTCGACCAACTTCAATGATAGATGCAGTAATCTTAGACATATCGATAGTGAATGTAAGCCATCAAACATTATTAAAAGTTTTATGTTATAGTATATTATTGTCATGAATTATATGGTATATTCGGATGAAGATTCTTTCTCTGAAATGAGACCAAAACTCCACTAAAATCAACCTCTTGAGCTACAAATCTTCTCCATCATCTCTTTATATGGTACTACGACTAAACAATGAAATATCTCTAGAAAATTACTAGAGTATGTTACGGGAATTTGTTCATACAAATGTGACATACTAAACTCCGTTGCTAAACCTAGAATGCAGACCATCTTGAAACTTTAAACTTAATTAAGTTCTCTACTTGATTATAATTAATATGATACACAACTTCGGTAATCGAACTCGTAAAGCCCACAGTCACAAATTAAAAAAGAAGAGAAGCATCTGTTGAGTAACTGTCGAAAGAGTATCGAAATAACAGGTACAGTTGTAGTCTTTGGTCTAGGCTATAACATCAATATAATCCAGTCGGTCGGCAAGAAACTATCCAATCATAGCATGAAATGTTGATATGAAGTACAATTGAGTTCTGATTCAATGGACTTTCTTCAACTCCTTTAGAATTTTTACAAGCTTCGTCGCATTTTCTAGGACTCGTTTCAACAAACAAAACTTGTATCAATAATCGTTGTTCAATTGGTTGAAATCCGGAATTCGAAACCTTTCGTCAGGTGGTTTCAATGTTTTCGACTTTAACGTTGGTCTCGAATCTACAAACAGGATTGTTATCTACGCTAAACTTGAAATACTCATAGCGATGAGAATATAATTTAAGGACGACCTTTGCGTGACGCTACAGTGACCCTGAAAGTGTCCACACAATAACTAGGGCAAAATGAGAGTTATAAACCTGTGTGAGGAATTAAAATTATGATTTACAATCGATAATTAGGGGTTAAAAGTTGAATTGAGGGGTATTTTTTATATCACGAACTAACATCCACTAAATCGTCAAAACGTTATTTATCCAAATGGATGGATGAATTTAGTGCGCAAATCCCAGAACTGTTATCTTAAATCTGATTGGTTCATCCATTTAATTATAGTCTCGCCCCTTCAAAGTATATGATCTTAAATGAAGATTTCTTTGTTTTTATAACTTCTCTAGTTGATATTACAGAATTATCCCCCATTTATAGAAGAAACAAATCTCCAAGAAGTAAACAATTAAAAATGAATCATTCATTATATCCATATTTGACATCAACATCATTCACACCATTATATCATATTTACATTCCAAATCAACGTAGACAGTCTGAAGAGAATTTCCATTCATATACAAGTGATGTTCGTTTGCAATGTAATAAAGTGAATGATCAAAATAATACAATTCATTCTTATCTATCTAATCTAATGTTATCTGAAGAAATTCCCTGTTGCACTTCTTCTCCTCCTCCTACTTCTTATTTATGTATGCCACCATTAATGGAACGTTCTATGGAAGATGATGAATATCATTTATGCAAATGATTGTAAAACATTCAAATTACGGTTTTTTGTATATTTCTTTTTCGATACAATATGTATCACCATTTACAATTCAGGTTATTTATAAATTGTATATAGATTACTTAGTTACTTACTTACGCCTGCTACTCCCGATGGAGTATAGGACGCCAACCAGCATTCTCCAACCCATTCTGTCCTGAGCCTTCCTTCATAGTTCTTTTTATTTTTTTTCAAATTGTATATAGATAATACACAATAATTATCGAACTGCTTATTTCACTACATAAACTTTGGTACATAGAGGTACTAAATATATATTCGGAAAAGAAATCATTCGATTTGTGTGAGGGTTGCGATACTGACCGAACAGTTAGCAACGCAAGGTGTCCAAAGGTTAACCACTGACATTTTCTGAATATAAAGCTACATTTTAGGGCTTCTGATTTTGAAGACCTCTAGGATTTAAGTCCTTAATGCTATTCATGAAATGAATCCCTTAACATCTATACTTGCTGAGTAGTGTTGGGGGTGATTGGAAGAAAGTTAGGGGCGGCCAAACCAAAACGTGGCATCAGTCCTTGAAGTCACTAATTTCTGGCCTGAGCCATGTTGGTAGATACAGACTATCGTAACCAATGGTTAGGGACTCTGTGTGACATGGCTCAGAATCGATCACAATGGCGTCAGTGTAAACACTGTTTTCTCTTAAGCTATGAGGTTAAAATCTCTTCATAACTAATTCCTTCTTCCTGTACTATATCCTTATACAAAATCTTTTGTATATTACCACCATTGAATTAAATAATTCTATGAATTTGTTGTTGTGTTAATGAGTTAACGGCAACTTGGATCGATGCATATATGTGTCTGGTCCTACGTTGTCGCTGACTGACTGACTGACTGATATTCCTACTTTACATCCGTAAATAAATTCAGCCAAACTACTACTAAAAACCGTGGGATACTGAATAAACGATACCTCTTAGTATGGAACTGTTCAACACTGTACATTTTCTACCTTTTCTAAAACTGAATTGAAATTCGTTTAAATGAAACTACAATACACTTTTGCTATTCTATGAATTCCCGTTCATTCCTTAACGTGGATTAATATAAGAGTGAATTTGACACTATATATAGGCAAATAAGCAATGTGAGTTTCAAATTGGAGTCACTTGCGGGTTCTCCATCAATTTATGATCACCTTAATTAAGAAAAACTCCGCCTGTAGCTCTTCTAGAGTTACTGCCGGTCCCAAACCCGGGTAAAGGAGGAGGTTTGGGCATGGGGTTAGCGTCCCCATCCCGTAAAAAACTAACTCGCTAAAAAAACGCTTACCAGAAAAAATAGTTCAAACCATTTAAACTCTGCCCTGGGAGTTAGAAGGTCTTCAGTTAGAAGAATTATGACGCTTCATGGTGAAAGCCGAGTTCCTTCGGAAGCCACGAGGCCGATGCCCCTTCTAACAACCAGAGCAAAAATTTTTATAGGTACATGGAACGTTCGAACAATGTGGGAAACCGGGAAGACCAGTCAAATAGCAATGGAAATGAGGAGATACAACTTAGCAGTACTGGGAATCAGCGAAACCCACTGGACCCAAGCTGGACAGAAAAGGCTAGCTACGGGAGAGATGCTGCTATACTCCGGTCACGAAGAGGAAAATGCTCCACACACTCAGGGAGTCGCTCTTATGCTGTCCAAAGTAGCACGAAATGCACTTGTAGGATGGGAGTCTCACGGATCCAGAATCATCAAAGCATCATTCAAAACAAAGAAGGAGGGGATCTTAATGAATATTATCCAATGTTATGCACCCACCAATGATAGCAACGACGACATTAAAGATCAGTTCTACGAGCGGCTGCAGTCAATCATTGAGAAATGCCGAAGAAAGGACCTAACTATTCTGATGGGAGATCTAAATGCCAAAGTCGGAATAGACAACACTGGATATGAAGATATTATGGGACGACATGGACTGGGAGAAAGAAACGAAAATGGAGAAAGATTTGCAAATCTATGTGCATTCAACAAATTGGTCATAGGAGGCACAATATTTCCACACAAGCGTATACACAAGGCTACATGGATCTCACCGGACCACACTACAGAGAACCAAATAGATCATATTTGCATCAACAAAAAATTCCGAAGGACAATGGAAGATGTGAGAACCAGGAGAGGTGCTGACGTAGCTTCAGATCACCACCTAGTTGTAGCCAATTTAAAACTGAAGCTAAAAAGAACTGGACAAGTGGACAAACAGCACTACAAAGGTTCAATACAGCCTTCCTTCGAGATACTGACAAACTCAATGAATTCAAGATAGCTCTCAACAACAGGTTCCAAGCCTTACAAGATCTACTGAAAGAAGAAGAAACTAGTATGGAGGACAACTGGAAAGGCATCAAGGAAGCATTAACTTCAACGTGTCAAGAGGTTCTGGGCCTAAAGAAACACCATCATAAGGAATGGATCTCTATAGAAACACTGGACAAGATCAAAGAAAGGAAGAACAAGAAGGCAGCAATTAACAACAGCCGAACACGAGCAGAGAAAGTCCAAGCACAAGCTGAATACATAGAAGCAAACAAACAAGTGAAGAGGAGCATTAGAGCCGACAAGAAGAAATACGTGGAAGAACTAGCAACGACGGCAGAAAAAGCTGCTAGAGAAGGAAATATGAAACAGCTTCACGATACAACGAAGAAACTAGCAGGGAAATACAGTAAACCAGAGAGGCCGGTCAAAGACAAAGAAGGCAAGCCAATCACCGAAATTCAACAACAGCGTAACAGATGGGTAGATACTTCGAGGAACTCCTGAATAGGCCGGCTCCAATGAATCCACCGGACATCGAAGCAGCACACATAGATCTTCCTATAGATGTCAACCCACCAACGACGGAAGAAATTAGAATGGCCGTCAGACAAATCAAGAACGGGAAAGCAGCAGGACCCGACAACATACCAGCTGAAGCACTGAAATCAGACATCGAAGCAACCACAAGCATGCTATACCTTCTATTCAAAAAGATTTGGGAGGAGGAACAAGTGCCAATGGACTGGAAAGAAGGACACCTCGTCAAGATTCCAAAGAAAGGAGATCTGAGCAAATGTGAAAACTACAGAGGCATTACACTACTGTCAATACCAGGGAAAGTCTTCAACAGAGTGTTGCTGAACCGGATGAAGGATGCAGTAGACGCCCAACTTCGAGATCAACAAGCTGGATTCCGTAAGGATCGGTCGTGCACAGACCAAATTGCAACACTACGGATCATCGTCGAACAATCAGTTGAGTGGAACTCATCACTATACATCAACTTCATTGATTATGAAAAGGCATTCGACAGTGTAGATAGGGGGACATTATGGAAACTCTAGAAGATTTAGAATCCTTCACGTACCTGGGAAGCATCATCGATGAACAAGGAGGTTCAGATGTAGACGCAAATGCAAGGATTGGCAAAGCAAGGGTCGCATTCCTACAATTGAACAACATATGGAACTCAAAACAACTGTCAACCAATATCAAAGTGAGAATCTTCAATACGAATGTCAAGGCAGTTCTACTGTATGGAGCTGAAACTTGGAGAACTACAACAACTACCATCAAGGAGGTACAAGCATTTATAGATGGTTGTCTTCGCAAGATACTCAACATCCATTGGCCGGATACCATCAGCAACAGCCTTTTGTGGAAGAGAACAAACCAGCTTCCAGCTGAAGAAGAAATTAGGAAAAGACGATGTAAATGGATAGGACATACATTACGCAAATCATCAAACTGCATCACGAGGTAATCCCTAACTTGGAATCGTGAAGGGAAGCGGAAAAGAGGAAGGCCAAAGAACACATTATGTCGGATAATAGAAGCAGATATGAAAAAAATGAAAAACAACTGGAAGGAGCTGGAAAGGATTTGTTGGGACAGGGTTGGATGAAGAATGCTGGTGAGCGGCCTATGCTCCTTCACGAAGAGTAACAGGCGTAAGTAAGTAAGTTAATTAAGAAAAAAAATGTATTATCACATCTAAGGCTACCACTGTTGAACGACATATTTCCTGTGGACCTCAAGACACTATCGAAACAGCATCTGTTATCGATTCATCGCTTGCCAATTTACTAAGCGAATAATCTCTCGAAATATCATGATTCTCTATAACATACCCGACAAAATCACACTTGAATCTACGCGAACTTTGGTACTTCTATACTGTCCATGAAAATGTATTCACCCGTATAAAAAAGCACCAGAAGTTATCGTGACACAACTTATTTAGATTCGATTCACATTTATCAACTGAACAATTCAAGGAATCCGAACAGTTACACTTACGAGGTTTAGGAATGCTCGTATAGTCTCAGATCGAATCATCAATCAAAGGCTTACGTAAAAGCCTACCTTTAACGAAAATAATCATGTAGAAATCACAACGTATCTTGTTAACCTAGCAAAAGGACACACCGATGAGAATAACATATCGCCTGTCAGCCAATAGTCTGGTTTATCAGTGAAGAACACCAACTCACCACTTAAGCATGTGGCTGCCTCAGATAACCAGTCTATACCTAATGTAGACATAGATGTGATATCTCACAATGAGACATTAGAGACGGAAACCCAAATGCCTAGTTATGACGTGAAAGCTCTTCAAAACACTGCTAAAAATCAAAGTCTAAACCATATGAGAAGAAAGTATATACAGAAGTGTCTAGTTCCAAAACTAGTACCACAAATAATACAAAGCCTCAACCATACAAAAATATACTCCTCGACACCAGGTTTAACCCTACCAATCGTGGAGGGTGGTAATATAAGCACACAGACAAGAACTAGTTGGTCCACCATTTACTCATCCCAGATCAACCTACGAACATTAAGTGACTTGTCACAGCCCTATTTTCTAAATCAAACAAATATACTTTGCGCAAATGACTCACAGGATGGATACCACAACCTTCGTGTAAGCAGGTCTAATATTAGGCGAACTGGAAGAAACGAACGTGTCCCATGGTTGCCTCCAAAGTTTTACATACTGAATCTGTAACATATAACTTCTTATTATTTTCCCGATAGGCAAGATGGATTACTAGGTTAGGCACCATAAACTCAACTCCAATAAGCAGGTGACTCTCCTAACCGTCCATCAAGTCGATTTTAACAAATAAGTCCACCCTTATCAAAACACTGATTGTTTTAGTCTTCAGAAATTCCTAATCTCTCTAACACCATAGTTTTTTCAAACCATAACTTATGCGATTAGTCGCTCATACTAAACCATAGTCCAGTCATCTCTAAAATATATAGTATCGATAGGAAAGCTCTCAACTCTTTTACGATCCATATTTCCTTCTTAAATTTATTGCTTTTCAATGCACGTTCAACTCTAAATAAAATTTCGGCCTTAAGGACCTCAGCTTAACTAGCTAAATCTTTTCTCATACTTATCACTAAAAAAATGGTGCTCTCCCGAGGTGTCTGATTTATAATTAATCAACCGGAACTTCCGACCCTATCTTGGGAACGGAGGAACTAAACGTTGAGGTTGTTGTCTTACATATGCGTTGAATTCTCTAACAAACAATTAAGTTGAAGACAGTGTCTTGAGTAGCTTGCCTGAATCTATGTGGATATCAGTCAACATCCTGGATAATAGACTACTCCTGAGATGTACATACAGATCCGCTAATAATTTGGATCATGCATTCGAACACACATCTACCCTAAAATTGAATGCTAAGGTTACTATAGGAGATTTCAATGACTCTAGAATAAACTGAAATACCGGTAGTTGTCAGTCATGTTATGATGAATTCTCAGCGACAATTTATATGAACTACCAGTCACAGTGGGTTCGCAACATAACAAGATGTTGAAGAGGAGACTCAGACTAAATCTAATCGATTTCTTCAAAATACCTAATAAACTATCCTTTACGTCCAGAAAAATAATTCAATATGCAGAAACTTCTAGTTACAGTATCCTTAACTCTTTGTCATTACTGAAACAATCACATTCTAAATCATCTCTCTATATGAATTCATTTAACAGTACATTGTACAGACTCTGGAATAATCTGTCACAATCTATCCATGAGATAAGATTATTCCCATCATTTTTGTTCGCTGCATCGACACTTACTTCTCGTCTGATAATATACATTGAATGTTATTACATCTGTAAGTGCATCTTATTCCATTCGTAAGATTATAGGAACTTGAAATATTCAGTCATTTTCATTACTGAATTCACTGAGTAAACTTTCCTACCTGCTGTCACTTTACACTTACACTATCCCTAGCAGCCTTAATTAGTTTGATTAGTATATTGTAAAATAACCTGACATATGTATGATAGTAAACCTGACTAACCTATCGTAGTGATGATTGTCTTTTTCATTCTGTGCTCTTTGCTTTCATTTTATTTTCTCTAGTTGTAAATGATTATAAACAATTCATTCCTTATATGCACCGTTCATAAATCAACAAGATGTTCACCTAAGAAGAATTAAAGGTTCCCGGCTGATGTATTTCATTGCTGTAATACATGTCATGAATATACTACCTAAATAGTTTTTAAGCTAGAAAACTTGAAACATTCTTACATTACGATCTATATCAATCTAATAATGTCTGTCAACCAACTGATTGGCACAACTTCTGTAACTATTGTCTTTAAAGTATATCAATATTATTATTGAATAGTTTCTTTTAAGAAGCAAATATATTGATTACTTAGAGATGAATTGTAGTTTTCAGTCAGTTCATTGATTTTGTGATATACATGAGAACATTACTGATTAATTACCAGTTCAATTCATTGAAAAATGTTGATTGGTCAAAATATTTGGTGTTAGGTAATTTGTTTTTATTGATTTGGATATAAACTGATATGATTTAATAGTTGAATTCATGAGTCAATTAAAGCTAGACAGGCATGGAAAACCGGGAGACAATGGACAACTGTTTCGTCCTCGTACAGATCTCTTCACCAGTGTGCACTCATGGCCTCGTTCGCAGGGTTTGAACCCAGGACCCTCAGTCTCGCGCGTGAACGATTAACGTCTAGACCACTGAACCGGCATCCAGGGGTGTTATCGTCTAAGTTCAACCAATTCACTAAATTGAGTCACTATCCACCATTGTCTTCAGTGAGTTACTATTTCACAACAGACCCGGTTGAACTCCACTGGTCATGACTCCGCACTAGAACTCCAAGAACTACCTCTTCGAGAGTGTCCTGGGTTCACACCTCGCGAGGCGGGATCTTGGATGCGCACTACTGAGGTGTCCGATACTAAGACGAAGCGGCCGTCTAGTGCTTTCATGATTTCCATGGTGGTTTAGCTTCAATTGACTCAACAGTACAACTATTAAAATTACTGTAATATCCACAAAACTACTCTCTGATTATAAACTGATGTATTTGCTCAATCAAAACGTCTTCTTCTACAGTTTTGTTTTCTTCTGCGCGTCTACAAAACAGTCTCGTTGTGCTGTAATAAATAACAGGTTAGAAGTGTTTCTCAACCAACAGCAAATTACCGTATTTGTAGCAGCAACCAGTATTTAACTCAAGTCACGACCATGAAAAATCAGTCTTGTTTCAAGACACTACAGTTTCTAAGGCAAGGTGTAGTGAACGAGAACAAAAATGGGAACAATCGTTTGAACACAAAATTACAGAACATCTTAGTAAAATCTGAGAACCATACAGTAAATAGTTCATTCACAAAATATCAATCAAGTGTCTCAACCTTGACTGTTCCTTCGGCCTATGTCATCTGAGACTTCATTGTTCCTTTATTTCCACAGCAATCATTTTCTGTTCTCGTTTGATTTTCTTTGATCATAACCTTCTACCGCCAGACATTTCACATACTACTTATATCTGCTGAAATCAGTAGCACACACCACGAAGGTGTTTTAGGGTCATAAAGATCATGATCCTCACTAAGTACTCTTTTTAGAATTCCAGACGTAGCAGCTAAAGAACTGATAAATCCATTATTTGTACAAGGATAAGATGTGATGTATACTTAGCTTTATTCTTTAACGAAGAATTACTCAGTGTCATAAATTGTTCCTTAATGCCTGAATATTTTCCAAATTTATCAAGAAAATTTAACACACATTCATTATCTTACTTATTGCGAGACCTAACGGAGAGGTTCTTTCAAAATTTGATAGCCAGGTTTAACTAACATTAAACTTAAGGTAAGAATGTTTTGATCTACCAACAACTTTTAACAACTCTAAGTTTTCAGATTCACTGACACGCGATTTTAGCCGTCCTTTATTTAAGTAATATTATAGTTTTAAGGAATACGTAATAACAAACATTGAGTTCAGGCAAGAAAGTTTTCTTCTCTATTAGTTTGAACATATGAACATTCGTGCAAAGGGGTATCAAATACATATGCGCCACACAAGTCACTTAATTTGTGTGTGGGCGATGATATTGACCGGGTGCCCAAACTGAAACAGGTGGTTTTCTTAGGTGATCATACTCGGGGCGTTCGACCGAAAAGTTTGATCCACAATGCAATGGAGCAACATCAGGAGATGCAGTCTCATAGTAGTCAGTGACCAATAACTGATTCATACGCCATTTGTTCCCTCAAGAGCCTAGAGACGATGTGCACCACTGGTTTGAAATGAGGGTTTTCCGACACCCTCAGATGGATCTCCATATCCACTAACTCGGTTAAAATTTTCAACGACACTATAATCATTATGTTCCTCAAAAAAATAAACCTCAATCAGACTGATATTACTAATGAGTCAGTCAGTAACAACGCAGAACTTCGTACGTACGTACATCAGTTCGAGTTGCTACACCACATTAGCACAGAGATGCAGTTGTCGGTTCAAATCTCGTTGTGGCAGAGGTAACAAAAGTGTAGGCAGTAATCAGAAACATTATGGTTTGAAGATGTTATTCAAGGAGTATAATACGGTGAAATAAATTTGGAAAGAGAAAAAAGGAAGGGACGTGGAAAATTCTGAATATTAGAATTTAGGAGAACACAAAGAGTGGATGCATCCGTGCCATTGCAAACGATTTTGAGCCATGTCATTCAGCGTCTTTAACCATCGGTTTCTATCATCTCCCGGTCCTCAACCAGGTAGTCTATACCTACCAACATCCTTCAGCCCACTTGTCAGTGACTTCATGGATTTGTGTCATGTTATGGTCTGGTCGCCCCTAGCTTTCTTCCAATCTACTCCTATACAACAAACATGGCGCATCGAGGCAGTCGGTAGTTGGGTATACGTAACACATGTCCCAGCAATCTCAACTGATGAAGTTTCACTAGGTCATCAACTGATTTGTCATCCTTACTTAGTACTCGTTTCCTAACAACTGTGTTACTTACTCGGTGTTCCCAGGATATACGAGCAATGTTTCGAAGACACCTATGATCAAATACTAGTAACCTACGAATATCCTCTACTCTTATCGGCCATGTTTCACTGCCATAAAGTAGGACGGAACGAACTGCTGCGCAGTAAACCCGTCCTTCAGTTTATAGACGAATATCTCGCCTACGCCATAAATGGTGCAAGTTGGTAAAAGCTAGTCGAGCCTTCTGTATCCGTGCTGAGATTTCGTCACACACTAAACCACAAGGACGATATTACTAATGACACTTAAAATTGATAACATCACCTACATATATATTCAGTAATATATATTAACTCCTTAAGAAAAAACTTATTATTAATATGAACAATGAGTCATATAGTATTCATTGATAGTCCCATTGTATTTCTTCACTTACAATTTACATTCAAACTAAACTACATTAATTCACTTTTAGTTCCCCCATTTAACCAGAATTGATGATTCATTTATCAGGTTTTTTGTTGTTGTTTTGTTTTGTCATCGTTTGTTTTCATCCTTTTTGCTTTTTTCTACATGATGAAACAAAAAAGGGTGTTTTTCTTCACCTTTTTCTCTCTTTTTCTTTCTTTCTCTCTTTTACGTCTTTTTTCTTCTTACGTCAAATTATTTTGTTTTATTAAATAAATAAGAAAAAAAAGGTTAAAATAACCCACTGTGTTGTTATGGAATAAAGAAGAATTAAGGGAATGAAATTTTCTTCTTTCAGTTTTCTCTCGTTTTTTTCTTTTTTTTTTAAAAAAAATCATTTACTTCGGTGATGCATTTTGTACTAAGCAATCAGCAACAACACCAACAACAAGGAAAGAAAAATACGAATTTATAATTTAAGCTAATGAGTTTGTTGAATAAATTTAGTTGATTGAAGATGACATTTACATGTTAGTCAGTCAGTTAGTCAGCTATCACGTAGGATCAGGTACATATATGCAGCGGTTCAAGTTGTCATTGCCTCATTAGAGCAACAAGATGGTAGCAATACATAAAAGAAAGATTGTATATTGTTAGGTTTGAGTTTCACGAGTTCACTTAATCTGTTAACGAGAACAAGACTCAGTGACCAAAGACCAGGAATCTAGCTATTGATGCGTTCCAGCCCCGCTATCTAGAAGGAGAAGTCCAAGCTTGGTATGGAAAATATATTCTGCAAACAGCCAGAAAACGAGCGAGCACCATAAACACAATTTAAAACATATATATATACAAATATATATAATCGATATTGTTATGGGAAATTTTTAAACATTAATCAATGAGTTCATCAATTGACTGTAATTTATTCACTTAATCGATAAGTTAATCGATATGATAAAATTACAAATATGAGTTTTGGGGATATATCGTCCCCAGCACATATAAGGACATAGTACAGGAAGAAAGAATTAGTCGGTAGAAAGAAAGATATAAGGCAATTTTAATCTCATAGTTTAAGAGAAGACAAAGAATGTATACAATGACGCTATTGTGATCGATTTTGAGCCATGTCACACAGAATCTCCAACCATTGGTTACAATAGTCACGTAGACCCCAACCAAATAGTCTATATTTACCAACATGGCTCAGAATGGAAGTTAGTGATCGTTTTGTTATAAATATGATCTACGCTACTTTATCACGGTAGTCACTGATACTCTGTACATCTTGGAAACCTTACGGATATGTAAGTGGAGAATATTTGTAGCTCAGATGGATGATTTTGACGGAGTTTTGTTCCATGAGCTAGATGGTCTGGTCATAGAGCTTTCATCATTCTTCTGAAAGACATCATCAGCACAAACTTTAGGTAAAAATGAAGTGTTCGAATTTCTCCACGTATGGTTCATAGCTTGTTAGTTATATCTCTCAATGGGAGATACAACGAAAATGAAGATTAAAGAATGACACGGTAAAGGTCAACAATAACCAATCAATATGGAGATCTATAGGACAATCTCTGAGTCATATGTGGAGAAATTCGAACACTTCATTTCTACCTGAAGGTTTTTCTGATGATGTCATTCGGAATAGTGATAAAAGCTCCACAACTAAATCATACGTTTCAGAGACCAAAACTCCTTCAAAAAGGTCATGTAAGTGGCTAATTTTCAGCATCTTTCTGTAAAGAGAGATATATGATTATTAAATCTGTTGAGAAACACGTAATAGATGTAAAAAAATTGGACTTGTCATTCGGTATTACCAGTAATAGGCAGAATGTACAGGAATTAACAATTAAGTATTCCGAATTCATTCACTGGATAACCCAATGAATAATTCGATGTCATTTTAGGCAATATACACTGTGGTTTAGTCTTGGTATCAGTATTAACACTAGGATGTTAGAATT